ACAACCTAAATTTAAAATTATAATGACAATATTGTCATTATAATTTTTAATGCAATAATGAATATTGAGTGAGTAACGAAGACAAAGCCATTTAAACCCAATACAATGATCTATAACAAACACAAAAAGATATTGAACTGCCTCTGTGGCCGGATTTCTTTTATGAGTTTGGGTGTAATTTTGGTTACCTACGTGTGCGTCCATGGCATCCGTGATACAGGGTTCCCTGGTGAGGGGCAATGAGTATGTGCGTTATTATTATAACAAAATAGTGAAATATTTTCACAAAAAATCATGGTTGTAAAACATGATGTCCAAAGAAAGATAGAAAGACCTAGAATAACGTACAGCGAACAAATAAAGAAGAACTTGAAAATGAGCTGCTATGAAGAGGTCAAGGAGTTAGCTATGAACCGTGAAGAGTGGAGGAGGCTACACCGGCAAGAGATAAATAAATAATATTTCATTCATTCATTCAAATTTGCTTAAAAAACCCTTTCAAACGCAGGTACAGCTGTAAACATCTCGAACAAGGTGCCGACGACGTGCGTGAACGATATTATAGCCGAGCACAACGCGAAACACGGAACAAAACTAGCTCCTATGTCTATAGAAAAGTTTCTGGCACGGTACTGCTCGCAGCTGGAACTCGTGCTGGAATATATGACGGAAGATGACGGCATCGACGCGTTTCGCGAACAGTATTACCAGTATTGGTTGCACGAGTGAGTATAACGATATAAACAGTCACTACTTATATTGTTTACGTGCTTGCGCACTAAATTTTTCGTCCAGGGAAGTACCTTACCTATTTCTGCCGCCAAGCGTTCCGATTTAGAAGGGTAAGGGTGCTTGTACTTATGTCTCAGGGTGATGGGCGCAGTGGCAGTGCCCCTCAGGGGCCTTGAACTCTTATTGCGATTCAGTTTAGAGCCTAAAATGAATGGTTGTGAGACAGCGCTACATGAAGTGTATATCACCATCCCGCTTTTTTGTCGTTACGAACCTATACTGAACTGCAATAAGAGTTAGTGGTAAGGCCCTAGATCTTTGCAATTTAAACCTCTGAGTGGCACTGCAACTGTTATGGACAGGCGTGTAGCTTACCATCGGGCGCACGACTTGTTCGTCTCATCACTTGAAAAAAAAAATCTTTTATAATAGGGTCGTAGGGTAGGGCATATATAGTAGGGTCGACTCTATGGTCGGCCATAATATTTACAGGTTTATCAACGCGTTTGTGCTTAAATGTTCCAATCCACTATCACCTCAAATTCCGTTTACTTTCGACTTGATACATTCTGCATAATTACGTCCCTTTTGATCCCATCTCTATTTGCAGTTTCTAAATTGTCATTTCGCACTGTTAATATAATAGTGTATTTTTTTCAGACTAGATGAAAAACGAATTACTCGCTCCCCGTGAAAGATTATTGAAATTTTTGTATAGGTTAAACTATATTGGAGACATCAAAACAATTTCCTACTTGCCAAGTATATTTAAAAATACAAGGGACATAATAAATCTCATATTTTTGAATAAGGACTGTTTTGTTGAGAACTAGCTCACAAAGAGTTTGTCTCATTTTGAGTTAAGTTGGTTTTTTTCAATATTGTTTCTAACAATATTCTAACGATGATTGTATTCACGTGTACGTATTAAAATTTTTACGATTAGCAATGGCACAATCTTGAATTTCACATACACACATCAAACGTCAAGTAAGATCCCTAATCAAGGTATTTTTGCAAAATATTTGCTACTCTATTAATGTTAAATTAAAATATTAATAGTAAATTATTCATTCAGTTACATATTTTTTAATTATAAAATTGACGACAAAAACTATATGCGTTAAAAAAAAATTAAAAAACTTAATTTTCAGTAATTGGCATAAACGTGCTTGATCCCTATCATTTGATGTGTATAGTTTTGAGTTACAACACTATTGTAATAGCTGTGCCACCATTTCAGGGTCCAATACTAACTTAACCGCAGCGCGTGAGCGTATTTAACATGAAACACATAATGACATGTGTTGTTGTAATGTTTGTGGCTTATGCGAACAATATTTTAAACTTAGTGATAATTAATGCATTTTACTTGCACATGCGAATTTACACATAAGGAAAATAAAGGGACACGAAGTGTCGTTATATATATTATGTTAATAAAAATAAAAGTAGATTAATTTGCTACTCTGCGAATTCATTGACGCATAAATCAGGCAAAATAGCTGCATTTGTGTTGAATTTTTTTTCATGCAGTTAATTTTTCCACCTTCGCTTAACATTAATAAAATAACTTATTTATGTTAATTTTATTTAAGGTGGGAGAGGTCGCCATAGAGGAAATAAAAATAATGTGGGAAAATGAATTGAACTACTTTCCACTTCAATTTTTGTGACACGTAATGTCTGAATGATGTTGAAACGCGACAAATATGATTATTGCTTGGTTGCTTGGCGTTCAAATTAATTTACCATTTTTATCTAAACTTTTTTGTGTATATTTGTTAGCGAATGTCTTAACTACGTTGCTATTGCGATAGTGGATACCTTCGTGCTGGTATCATTTTGGCGTAACCTAGTCAAAATCAAATAATCTTTATTTCATGTAAGCAAATTACACTTGAAATCATCAGGTTGTTCGTAAGGCAGATGACCCTGAGAATAGTGAGCAAGGAACTCTAGGGGTTCCTTTTTGTAAATAGATATTTGTATACATTTATCATTTACAATATTTATTTCAAGTATCATAGATCAAAACAATCTGCAAACGTTAAACGGGTCACTAGAATACCACGGATTTTTCGTCGTTCAAGTCCGCAGTACCTTTAACATAAAGTTTTTGTTTCACTATAGTTTTAAACCTCGTGAATTGCCGTTCATTTTGAATTTTGAATATCAACCGAAATCTTATTATATAAGCACATTGCCCCTTAAAGGAATGTTTCTATCTATGTGAATTTCTAGCAGGAAGCCATTGACTTACAATTATATGGACGTCGGGTCCGCGCTAAAAAGTGTCCGCACTTGTAAGGCGCTAAAATCGTATACAGAGCGCTACACTCCGCTTTAGTCTTCATTTGTTCTACTGACAGCGCGATACTGCGATGACATTACAATTTAAATTTCGAATAGGTTGACTTGGGACATTTTTTTCGTGGTTTTTTGTATTAGACCCGTCGTCCATTTATTTGTAAGTCAATGCAGGAAGCGAATAAAAACAACAAGTGCGTAGCTTGGTGCTCTCAACTATATTTCTAACAATAGACATCTACGGGTCGTATTCTAGAACTCTACTCAATGCTCAAGTCAGGATTTGAGTATGGTTTAAAGCAGTCGAAATCATACTCAAGTCCCTGCCATTAGGGTCGTATTTCCAATGCTTGTGTTTCCAGTGCAATCCTGACTTGAGCATTGAGTAGAGTTCTGGAATACGACTCTGAGTCAGGTTGAAATGATGATGAGTCGATTAACTGGTATGCACTTTGCATTCCCAGATTTCGCCACACGAACAAATTTTTTTTAAAAGTTTCCAGAACTCAAGCTGGATAATAAACTTTGTGGTTGCAATGCGTTTGACGTTTGACATGTGACGGTTTTTCACAAAAAGTGCGAAAAGGGAGATCGGACTTTAGTTCTTCAGTTTGTACTTGTTAATTGCGAAGTGAAATTAATCTAAACGTGTAATTTATGAATTTACTGCGACTACAGACCTCACAGTTATTACATTGAATTGCCCCCGTGGCCGAACGGTTACCATGCTGGACTGCCACGCAGAGGTCCTGGGTTCAATTCCCAGGGTAGGAGAAATATGTGTATAGCCCACATTTATTTCTCTCGTGGGTTTGGGTGTAACTTGTGGTTGTCTATGTGTGTTTCATGGCACCAGCGTCACAGGTTTTCCCTAGTGCGGGGCTACGAGTTTGTTCCGTTATTGCGTTATTTGATGCTGGTTTTTTTTATTAAAAAATTATGTGCGTATTTCACCTCCATCTCGCCTGATGGAAAGTGACGATTAGGTCGACGATGGAGCATAAACATAATTATGTAATTGTTAACAAGCGCCCAAAGTTGAGAGAACTTTTCGCATTTAGCAGCACATAATTTTATTTTCACTAAGGGGCCTGCACAGTATATACACTCTTTTGCAAAAAAAAAACGGGCACCTAAGCAAATAAGGTATTTGACTGTCACCTGCAGTAAATTTTATTATTTAACTAACCTGTATCCTCAGAATCTTAGAAATTAATATGCAGAAAATGGTTTGAGCAAATTTTTTCTAGTGTCAGTGGTCAGTAGAATACTACTCGTTAAGTAAAATAAAAATTAAAAGATTTTTGTTTTTTTAATAATGTAAAGATGGTAACAATTTAATAATGATTGTGGCCTCCTCTTGCCAAAATCGCAGCTTGTATTCTTCTAGGCATGCTTTCGAGTATGTTGCTTATGACCTATTGTGGAATATGTTTCTATTCCACGGCGATGACATTTTTTTAGCTCCCTGATGTTTTGTGGTGCTGTCTGCGCTGACCTTACCCATCGCTTCCGAACGCCCCAGACATGGTCTATTGGATTGAGGTCGGGACCTCAAGCTGGCCAATGCAAACGCCGGGTTCCAACCTCTTGAATATACGCTTCCACATCGCCAGACCGGTGGGCGCGCGCGTTGTCATCCATAAAAATGGAATCTTCTCCAAGTCAATACGGGTTGTACGTGAGGAATTAGAACCTCCGTCATGTATCGGTGTGCATTCAATGTGCCATTTTCGATGAAGACTAACTTCGTACGGTCCATCGAATTAATCGCTGCCCAAAACATAACGGAGCCTCCACCATAAGGGGTGACTTCTACAAAACACACGTCTGCAAAGCGTTCCCTTGGTCCTCGTAGCACTCGCCGACGGCGGTCTTCACCACACAGTAATCCTGCCTTCATCAGAGAATAAATACTCTTCTCCAGTCTTCTTGAGTCCATGTAGCATGGACTCAAGAAGTTTGTGTGGTTTCTAGCGATGTTAACTCTAGCAACTTTATGCTCACGGAGTCATTTAGGACCACGAGCTGGGCGATGACTGCGTATATTGGCAACATGAAGCCTCCTCCTGAGGGTCCATAGGCTAATTTGTACTCCTCTCACTTCTTCAAGGTTCTTCTTGAGGTCCATGTATGAAGCTTTGCGATTTCTCTACGCCCATTTACCAGGAAGCGGTCATCCCGCGGTTCGGTGCATTGTTTTTTTCCAGAACCTATTCTTCTATTGATGGAACCGGTCTCTTGATATTGTTGCCAAATCCTCTGAACTGTCGCAAGACTCACATTCAGCCTCTGGGACACAATTTGAGAACAATTTTCTTTTCTGTAATTTTCTTGTAGACTGGTTTTATCTCTTAAATTTGAATTTGGAACGAATGTTTTTACAAATGAGGACACTTAACTATCAAGCCAGGGACATTTATGAATGAATAAAACCTTTTACGTATTGTAATAATTTAATTATTTCAGGCCGGGAAAAAATCAAAAGTGCCCGTTGTTTTGGAAATGAGTTTATTACATATTATTTTTTTCGAATTATGCATATATACGTAGTTTAGTATATGAAACATCTTCGCGAATGAATAGCCTTCATCTACATCTCGACCAAGATTTTTTTAAATTGCAGTGGTGAACAAGTGCGCGTACAAACGAGGGAGTCATCGTCACCGGTTGAAGGCACGATAAGCGGAGTGGACGTAGCAGGCTGGCTTCTAGTGCGCACTGACCACGGCGAAGTGCGCGTCGCCCCGGACGGTAACACTTTCGACATGATGGCTGGGCTCTTGGTTCCCAAACTCTAGTGTTCAAAGGTCCAACCACGGCCCAAGCTGTAGTGTAGTGCACCGCACAGATGTAGTGATAGGACAATACATTCCGTGAATTCACATTTAGATAGTAAATAGTGGACTATATCTTTAATGTAACTCCATTGAATGGTAACACAACAGCCATGTACGACGCGACGCTTGAGAAAGAAATAGGCAACAATATAAAATGTAATCAAATTAAAATGAAATTTCTTTAAAAAAAAGCAAGAACATACATTGTTCTCTGCTCATTCGCTGTTAAATTTTGTGGTTATGTTATAGAGCGTTTCACTCTAGCCACGACTTGAAAATGAACATATCTGTTTTGATAGTATGCAATGTAAAGATAGAGGGCGCTAATCCACTAAAAATTAGTGCCGTCTATCTATCAACCAATGAAATAAAATTTAATTGTTTGTTGCTCGTGGATCATTCAGGTGTCTAGTGCCAGTGACCACTTGTTGTATGTCTTGAGCCTAGTTAGGTTAATATTTTTTTTTATTCTTGGCTTTTTGCGATTAGTGTTTAAGTATATAATATTTATCTTATAGTTATTTATATCTCGTTTTTTCTCGCGTGATCTCTTGTTCACAGTTTCTCTTTTCGTAATTTCCTTTAATTTTAAAAACACAAAAATCATCCTTGTATCTGAAACGCTAACCGCGAAAAGCCAAGTACAAAAACAAAAGATTTTTTCATAAATTAACGCCATCTATTTCATTTGTATCGTACTACCAAAACATTTAGTTTCAATACCTTGTTATTATCGTTTTGTAGAGTCGTGTCGTCTAGTGTGAAGAGTACGCTCTTGAATGTCACTTCAGTGTCTATTAAAAATTAGCGTTCTGTAGCTGCTATTAAAACGATTTATATTTATTGCTGTTCGGTCGATGACTGCTGATCTGCAATAACGTTGCCCGCAAACCAAATAAGACTTATAAAACATTCTTAACTTATGAAAAAACTTGTCCACATTATATTTTACGTGCCATCAAGTAACATAATAATTGATTAGTTCGACTCCGATAATATATTAAATCGAAAATAGTGCTCTCAATTCTAAACTATTGAACAAAATAAAGTAGTAAGCATAGTTAATCGTAAGAGTAATATTTATTTAAAAACCTGAACGTTTAAGATTACAGTGTTACACTACACTATCTAGTATAAACAAGTATTATTTAGTATTTTAGCATTTGGGTAATGTACACTTGCGCCCGGCAGCGTTATTGGTTAGTTATAGAGAAACGTTTGGGTAATTTTCTAGTCAGTGTTCTATATCCAATTTCGGTGGCAATTTTTATTATTTAAATACATCGAGTATGTAACCAGAAATAGAGACGAAATGTCATTGAATTTGTTTAAAAACTATTCTGCCGCATCGTTTCGGTGACAACTGCGCTCCGATTGGCCAGCTCGAATTCGAAACAATTGACAGGTGTCGTGAATTGTTCTAATATATCAATTGACGACACCCGTATATCACTAACCCTGGATATCACTAACATGTGGTTTCCACAAGACGGTGCCACAAGTTACACAGCCACCGAAACAATGAATTTGTTGCAAACCAAATTTCCTGATCGCATAATTTCACGAAATTCAGACGTTAAGTGGCTAGCTCGATCATGTGATTTAACACCCTTGTATTATTTTTTGTGGGGTTATGTTAAAGACAGAGTCTATACGAAGTCAATCGAATCGATTGCAGCCTTAAAACTCAAAATTCGTGAAGTGATTAACGAAATAGACCCACCATTTTGTCAAGAAGTGAAGAAGATTAAAAACTTTGATGAAAGAATCGACAACTGTAACTTGGTTGTGGTGGACATTTATCAGATATCACTTTTCATTAATAATTGCCATACCTTACTTTTCTAATATAATAAAAATTTGAATCATTGTCATCTAAAGTTATTGTTTTATTTTGATTTACAAAACAAAGTTCTTGTTGAAAAATCCTATAGCATAATAGAATATTCAACTGCTTCCGAACGGTTACCATACTGGTCTTCAAAGTAAAGGTCCCGGGTTCGACTCCCGGGCCGGGAGGAATATTTGTATAGTCTACTTTTAGTTTTCTCGTGAGTTTGGGTGTAATTTGTGGTTTGTCTACGAGTGTGTGTCCATGGCACCCGCGATACAGGGTTTCCCTAGTGCGGAGTTGAGTGTTGGTGTTATTATTTTTATTATATGATATATTACTTAATATTCGAGTGTAGTATCCTGAATGATTGTTTAATGTTTCACTCTAATATACTTGAATACTTTTAATAATAGTTGCCAACAAAATTAGGTAGTGAAAACCTGAAAATTATCCACTTACGATTATCCGTTTGAACCGTAAATCGTAAGATATAAAACAGTCCAATGGCATAGATGCTGCCTTTCCGGCTGAATACTGCCGTATTTAACCTTAGCTTCTACATATTAAAATAAGTAAAATACCCCCATATCTTATAAACTGAAAGTTTTGCAGAATTTACCTGAACGCCAATATTTTCAATTTTTTAATTAAGATTTACAGTAATTATTTAAACAGAATGATCACTGTGTTGTGAGTCAATTAAGTTTGGATTTAAATTGAAAACAATCAATAATCAATCTTCAACCATAATTTTTATGATTGAAGATTGATATAAAATTTAAATTGTGTGATAGTAACCTTAATCTAGGCTTTGTGGAAGGTTACATATTTTCAAATCAATCAATAGGCGAGCTTACTTCAAGCCCACGGTTAACACCAGCTGATACGAAGTATGCTCTTGCTAAATGTTTATTTGCTTGAAGAAATTACTGGCATAACAACAGTGCCACTACGGATAGTGTCCGTCCTTTAACACATGAATTAAATTCTATAATTTTGAATGCTATGCAAAGAATTTAAGAGATTGTTTGTGTAATTGGCTGTCTTTTAAAATATCTTTGGTCAATTACTATTTGTCATTGGTTTTGAACGTTCCACACATACACGTTAGAAATAAAACTATTTTTTTTTCGGATCCAAATCGAGTACTTTGTGTTTTTTTTTTCAAACAAGCCGACGTTTTGTGCTCTTACATGTCTTATTGTCACGGCTGACTGTGATGGTAAAGTTATTAACCAGTTATGTCTAATATTAATGCAAACCACCCTATTCTGAACTATAGTTGCCATGCCTTATTTTTAAAATAGCAAAGAACATTCCTATTTACGCTACATATGATTTGCAAAAATTTTATTTTAACAATAAGATTTTTTTACTAAATTAAATTTTACTAATTAAAAAGGAAATTAAAAATAACATGAAAGTTAATGAGTACTACTGCAGTCTGCTTCGTTTATTCCCAGTAGTTCCATGTACTCAGTTCCGTTTGGGATTGTTCATCAGAGGAAATACTGGATCCCTAGATGGTGGTACGTAGAAACCATCTTCCCTATTGAAATTAGGATGTTTTTACTTTTCATTGGCCTCTCGCAGCATCCTGGTGTTAATGAAACTAAATTGTATGTAGGTTTATCTATGCCATGTTCCAATTTGTAGCAATCACGGCAATCTAAGAAGTCGATATGCGTAACATAGTTATTTAATCGATATAAGATATAATAAAAACACAGCCACATCACTGCCAGTGTTCTTTAAATTAAAAATTAAATACTCTACATGTAGCATATATTAGGAGCAAGTGTTGAATGTGGTTTGTGTTCTATGCATTAGTTTAGTTCATAATCAGTTAGAATACAAAGGATTGATGTGAATTTATAATGGATGAAACATATAACACTTCGGTCAAGTACGAAATATCCGACCCATTCGGCTCGAGGCACAAGATGGCATTGTGTCTAAACTGTCTTAACTATTGGAAGTTAGACAACGGTTATACATTTATGTCGCCATTACTTCGTGTTTGTTGCGCAAGTTCTGGGTCAACAGTATGGGTTGACACGCAAGACTGCGATGCGACATCGCAGAAATCTACGTGCTTGCACGACGCATCGCAAGAATTTGTGAATTGCTTCGCATCCCGCATTCCTGCGATGCATATCTACTAATATCCTTTGTGGTTTTTTTTCCTATACTGTCTTATCAATAACAGCAGTGCAACACACTTTTTACGATCCATGTTTAAAAATTATATTCAGTACGGTTGACGATCGTCGAAGGAATGGTTACCCGAATCGTGGCAGTCGAAACGCGAATTGCATCGCTGCAATTCGCATCGCATATTTCTGCGTTACGAATTCATCGGGTCGATTCGCAGTTTTGTGTTTCGACCCTTTACATGATTGACCAGACGTCCGGTTCATTCGCGTAGTAACTTTCGATTCTTGTTAGTTCATCAGTTTTAGTTGACGTATTTTAATAGGATTATAATGACAATCCGCACACGACACCAAATACTGTCGTTACTCAAAATTGTGGAATTGAGGAAATACGATTTGAAAATTACATAAAAAGTTAATGAAACCAATATATTCTCCCTAATAAATGGATAATTAAGTATTATGTCGTTGTATAAATAAAAATAACCACTTTTTTTTGTAATTTTCAAATTGTGTTTTTTCAATTCCAATTTTGAGTTACGACAGTATTTGGTTTCATGGTTTCAATTACTGAGAAATTTGAAAAATAAAATTTCGAAACTCATAATTATGTTCTACGTTTCTATATGTCTTTTGGAGTTTTATTTAGCATGAATTATAAAATAAAATTGTATAGCTAAGAACAAGTAAAGTTAAGAGTAAAAAGAGATTGAAAATTACTGGAAAACAGCTAAACAAACATAGGTAAAAAAATCTTTATAACGGCTCCATCGTTTTCGTTCAGTATCTTTCTTCAACTTTTGACAGGTGTCAACTGTCAAATGTGAAAAATGTCGGCCAAATATTCTTTTAAAATACAATTTTTTCCACGACCCAACATTAACCTAATTCAATATAAGATTTTCGAGTCAAACTCATGAGTCTTGTTTTGGAGGTGTTGTTACATGTATGATTTTGAAATCTACCTTTGTTGTGTTATAACGTATTATATACTAACTTGACTGCAAATCTTTAACCTCATAAGGTCCCATACATCAAAATGTACACAATTTGTAATCAGCCCCAGACAATATGATCACTTAATCGCCCAATGTGCATTATAATGAAGACATCGCATTCAAATTTAGCGATATATATTCTATATGACCATCAAATCAAATAAATATGTATGAACGAGTTCTTTCTCCAACCCGTCCATCATGCGTGAGTAATGAGGGCGAGATATTTCTATGAAATAAGACCAGGAATCCTTAATCAACTGTGCTTTAATCAGTTTTTAACAAATAATAATTAATTATAGTACGAATTTAATGCGATTAGAATGGATTTCGTGATACCCGTCATTAATTTTCGCTGTTGACAGCCACGTGTTCGTTCGAAAACGAGTCGATCAATCATGGCCGCAGTTTTCAAATTGAGAGGCTACGCGCCATCAAATATAAAAAAAAAAATACTTTAAAAAGTCTGCTGTATACTTGCTTGGGTCTTGAAACATGTAAGAATTTTATGTTGTTATGAAATTCGTAGAGTAATAAAAGATTATTATCTGTATTGGTAAAAGTGGTCTATCTGTGCAGGGGCGAAGGGTGTTCCTTTTTCACATTATAAATAAAATGGATATATTTATGTGGATTCTAAAGCAAGTCTATTGGGTTGGTAAAAAGCATGAGGGGATACCTCATAAAGTATAAATGAATTACATAAAAAAAAAACTTTAATTAATTTTGTTTATGATACCAAAAATCTCTGAATGCAAAAAGATCTGAATGCCACTGCCATTGCGTCCGCCACCCTGACACATAAGTTGACAAGTACTATGAGCCTGTAATTCACTAGCACCCTTACCGTTCAATACCGGAACGCAGTAATGTTCTCATTACTGCTTGGCGGCAGAAATAGTTAAGGTGGCAGTACTTCCCTGGACGAACTCTTGAACTTGCACATGGACTTATCAACCGCAGTGGCAGTGCCCCTCAGATCTTTGAGTGGCACTGCAACTGTTATGAACAGGCATGTCGCGTACTACCAAGTGCATGACTTGTTGGTGCCGTCACGTATCATAAAAAAAAACCTGTTATTCAGCGAATACTGTTGGAGTAGAATGTGATTATAGAAGTTTTGGCCTAGGACGATTTCCCCACGAAAAAGAAAGTATTTTTTTGTAAAGACCGACACAATGTAAAGAGGCTATGCCGGGTGAATTCGCTGGATGAGGTAACACATCCTAACCTATCTGCAAAGATGTGTATGGTTTGCCGTTACATGGTGAAATACGATAACTTTTCGATTTACCAGTTCTGGGTGTTTTTATAAAATATTGTAAACATAAAAATTTCCCGCCTGTTCTTAAAATGCACGCTAAAATATTATTTTTATGATCATAGACAATATAACATACTAAAAGAAAAAGTTCTTTATTTTTGGTTTAAAGTTAGTTAGTGACAAAAACCGCACGGACTTTTTGACCAACTCATAATAATAATGCCAGTGTACGAGATGTTTTTATACATGCCAATCTCATAGAAAATGCCAATGTAATGAAAAATTTGTCCATGAAATGGCGATTTCCATGAAAATTTGTATTTCACGACGGTGCGGGAAATGACGCGTCCGTTATTTGATCAAAAATTACGTTTACAATTAATTTAAACTTGTGACGAACGAAATTCCGCGCACGCAATTCAGTCGCGTTACTAAAAAGTATGCTCAATACGACAAGAGTTGTTCACACGCAGACCTGTAATTTTGCCGCTCCATTTTTGAACACTTTCAAAACCAAATTGTGAAAAATAAGTCTGGTAATTATTTACATATATACAATGATAACATCTTATATTAACTAGTTGTATTCTACTCGTTTTATAGATTGATATAACCTTAGAATAATAACGCATAGAATGATAGTTTCATATCAAACGAACTGTCACAAGTGAGGCAAAAATCAAATTCATGTAGGCTAGTTTTAGTAGTAGGTTAATTTTCGGTTTTAGTGAATATTTATATAAAAATACAGGTTGAAACGAGTTACTTCCTTGTGGAATGTGATGTTAGTATCTATTTTATGTTTGTCTGAGTATTTTTACACTCATTTACCGCACATTTCGTCATTTTTAGCTAAAATTCTTGATCTGTTCGCGGTGCAAGTTGACCTTGAGCACTGAAGGCCCGCGCGCTCGTGTAGGCCCATTGGGCGCGCTTCAATTTGCCTCACTTAGCGTGTGCGGACTAGGTTTCTATGCGTTATTATTCTAATGATATAACCAATTTATGCCAGAAAGAAGAAAAAAGTTCATTACTATAATATAATCCATTATATGTCAGGGAAATTATGAAGTTGTACTACTTTTACCTACTTACTTTACACAAATGCCTTTCGTTTGTTACTGGTTTTATATGTCCATATCATATATTAGTTATACCCTCCTAGCAATCTGTACCCCTACCATGAACGTTGATAGTCGCTAACAACATTGCAATTTTGTATCGAAAACTTTACTTATGATCGCTAGGGAATGTCAACGCATTTAGTTTCATGGTAGAGTCACTGAGCTTACGCAAACCGATCTTCTCTAATAATTGGATAGGTAAATTACAATTTTCTTACCCTCATTTCAAATTTAATATCAGTTTTTTTAATGTACCCTGTTCAAGGATATAAAAAGAATCTAGAAAATTACATATAATTTTGCCTACTAATTACAATACAAGACAAAATGACGACATTCAAAATGATTCACACGTCCCTTCTAGTCTGCTAAATTAATTCCTTTGGCAAAAGGAACCAAGAACATAGAAATGAAAAAAACATGGAACAAAGAAATTCTACAACAAAGATAATGAAGTAATATAAAGTACGAAAATGGCTAAACGCATTTTAACGTCGAAACGACGTATCTGGTATTTTCAGTTTTGGAACGCCAATAATTTAATTAAAACACGAATTTTCAAAATGGCCACCGTAAAGGTATAATGAATTCCCGCGACAAAATGTCACAAAATTAAATTATTGAAGAAAAATCACAATCTAAGATCTGACAGTATCGCCAATTAGATGCCTTAGCGTGTCAGGAAGGACGAAAAATTTCCCACTATGTAATTAAAATCTTAGTCGACATGACCCAGCCTACTTAAAAAATTGCTCCACACTTTCTTATCACTTTATACGAAAGGAAATTGCCTATGTATTGTGGAGCTTGTATTCTAACAAATGTGCCTATTATGTAACTGGTAGTAAACAACGTAACAAAGATTTTAATATCGGGAGATTGAATCTCTTGCTTGAATTAGGTGTTGTAGATTGTAATTGAAAGGACATGGGCAGGTAGGGTATTATAAACATTATGTTAAGATGGCGAATATCTTGTGTATCTGATGAAACAACTTTTAATACTGTAAAGTCGATGCTAAATCTCCTAACCGGTCTTTTGGTTCCGAGAGTAAGTGAGAGAGAGTTCTTACTGTGTAACAGAAAAATAAAATGGTTTTACAGCTTACGAGTTAAAGACTAAATATGTTTAACACTTTCCTTCACACGAGTCAGCACAGAACCTAAGGGTCCGTTAGGGGGTCAGGTATCTTGGGGCATCGACTGTACGTTATTGTTTTATCATAGGCGTTCACTTTTTCGTATAGAATGCAATAATGTGTGGTTGTAACCAAAAACGTGCGTCCTATTTAAAGTTCTGTACTCTGTAGGTGCAGTTAAAATAAACTTGTTTTTAAATTTTAACTTTAAGATCCTTGTTATTAAGTTAGTATTTCCGTGACTTTGTACGATAAGTCGAAGTATGTGATTTAATTTAGATCGTTCACGTAGACCACTAAATTGGAACGCAGTTTAAATTTGACCTTGTGAAAACTCCTTTAAACATCTATAACGTAATCGGCAATGAAAATACAAATATGCAAAAGTACACTTCCGTGCATAATAGTGTGTTTAGAAGTATATGATTTTTGTTTGAAGCAAACATTTAACTAAAGTAGTAATTACGAGTAATATTTCAAACTCTAGCATTAGAGTGTTAGGTATTAGGAATAGTTATTTATTAGGTATTTATCTGTAGATTTATCCTAGCATTGTTATATAATTCATTTGTTAACTCTACGTTTTATGAAGGTCTAAACTTCGACTATTTTAACTTGATGTTTTTTATTACAAAATGTGTAGAGCGACATCACAACTTGTTATAATGAGGGTAGCCGACACGCGTGCACACAATGTAATGTATAAGGCTCATTGTTTTCTACAGTGGAACTGAATGAAGTTGTATTTGTAGCAACCAATTTTGCGGCGTGGAGATGTTAAAATAACAAAATGCTATTGGTTAATAATAATTTGCTACAACGTTGGACATAACTGCCTCGTGTGCTATTCTAAGCTAGTCGACACCAAAGGCGAAATTGATATGTTTGCTCCACCTTTCAACTCCGATGGCGGATTTTTTTTTCGCCACCGAAGTTGTCAGTGGCATTCGGAAACATATGGTGTAAGCGTGCTAAAGCTGACCCTAATTACAATGTTCACTAGAAACTAGTCACTTTCCTAGCTATTGTCAGTAAAGTTCCGTTTGTTAAATGTTATCTATTAAACTAATTCTAAAATGTTAATATTCCTTGTTACATCAATACTCTTGTTGTATGCATGTCATCTAATAAATTATTTCTGAATATTTCTTTTATGCAATTATTTACTCGTGTGATTGTGCAAAAACCAATTCTAAAATGTTTATTGTGTTTTTATTTCGATCAGAGTATTGCCTCTTCATAGCTTAGCTTACTTGTTTCTTACCGAAACGCACCAGATTGTAGCATGATTTTTTTGTCAGTGTGTTATCTGAAGCGTCATATTTACCACATTTACTGACAGTCTAAACCTCTGAACTAATTATGTTATTAGTTTCTCCATTTTAAAGACATATAATAGTCAAAAACCTTGTGAAATAAAAAATATTGGAATTTTACTATTACAAGGATATATAAGTTTTTTTACCATTGATGTAGAGTGCGCTAGAGTCTTCCCCATTTTAAAACTTTTCTGTCAACTATACTTATCTGTGTTCAGTATAGTTTAGTTTCCTATTCGAGTTTAATAGTTATCAGCATTATCAAAAACAAACAAGTTATCCGGCACCCCGCCCGTTCCCAAACCATGAAGAATAAAAATAGACCCGGCCAAAGGTTCGTCCTTAATTTTCTTTGAATCTAAGTTGCGCCTCGAAGTGGTCACTATCAAATCTTCCAGATGGTCTCCTCCCCACGTGAGCGAAGTAGTTAGTGATACAGGTAGACGATACGCTTCTACGATAGTCCTTAGGTCTGGATTTATGCGAACGATCTGCGAAATGTTTAAAGCGTTAGCGAATGGTATATTAGCGTATGCGAAACTCTTGTGCTATTGAATTTTTATTTAAAATGTGTTTGCGTTTGCGAGGAACATGTTGAAGGCTCGGTATTTCAGTAAATATGTGCACAAAAGTTAATAGCGCAACAGATGTCAGAATCAAATGGACTACGGTCAGAGGTTTTGCGGAAATATTATAAATATTTTTTTATAAAAAGGTACTAGATTTTTCCTTCTGTTACATCTCTTAAGCTCAATTTACATTGCGGCGGAACGGAGGCGCCAATTTCGCCTCACTGCGCGATAAGGCGCGCGCGTTTGATAATGCGAGCTTCCTCGTGCCTGCGCCCAGAAGCTGTAGTATTTCGTCGACGTTTGACGTCACACTGCGCCTGCCTTCGCGCCACTTCCCGCAGAACCGCTAGGCTTCGCCGACGGCAGCTGTGGAATTCTTGCGAATGCGCGAGCATTCTCGAGCATGCGCGAGAATTCCGCAGAAGTTGTACGTCAATTGTGTTGTTACGCCTCGTAACAACATAATTGACGTACAATATCGTTACAAAAATTTGTTTCTATTCCGTTCCGCTACAGTATAAATTCCGCATTATTCTGAGTTGGGCTTACGCTAACTTTGAAATTTGATGAAAATGAAATTGATCATGCAATTTATGGCTCGACTTGCTCGACCCGCCACTCTTGCGCAGAAAGATGCAAACCTTGCGACCCTTTTTGTACCATTGTCGTATTTATTAAATTTGATTACTAAGGTAAAATGTCGTAATTACAAGAAATATCATGTCAGTCGAAAAATCTATCATTATATAAAAATAAATGTATACTTTTTGCTTATTTTAATGTATTGAAAATTAAACATTAACAAAACAAAATTTAAAAAAAGTTTAACAATGACTATGTTTCCCAAAATATGCATGGGTTCAGGGACTCACACAGGCTTGAGATAACCTCGAGACAATAAATCTGTTGTATGTATCTTCTAAACAAAGGTACGATTAATTCTAAATATTTTGTGATGAAAACAGACTAATTCACGACCTTTTGTCTGGGTGCAATCAGATCTTAGTTACTAGGATCTTACTACTACTACCTATCTCGAGATTTAAAAGTGGTGCCTCCGAAATAAAGCTTACTCCAGCGTGAACAGTAAAACATCATTGGCGAATCGAATAAATCTAGTATTTTGCGACTAGAACCGACTAAATTATGAGTTTTTAAACCTGACGAATTCAAACTCTCGAAAACTCGAACATGATCACGCTAGAGACGGGACGCGCAATCTTTGCTTGGTTATCAATAACACAAAGTATACCCGTATGAGAGTTAAAAGTAAATTACATTGTGCGTCGGGATTTTGTACAACTTGTCAGTTGAATCATCCAAATCGTCACATCTTTTTGAATTGTTACCGGAAGCCATTTATACATAGAAAAACCTTACTTACCGCACCCTCAAACATAAGAGCTACCCAGAGCATGCCGTCACGATCTATAGCCATCCCATCAGGAATAGCCGGGCTGCTGGCCCCATAGTCTGTTATGTTCACAATCACTCGCCGATGGCCTGAACAGGGAAATAAAACAGAAATAATCTACTTCCCACGAACTTTTATAATACCAAGTGACGGTACGTACAAGGCGTGCGTCTGGTGGTAAGCGACACGCCTATCTATAACAGGTGCAGTGCCACTCAGAGCTTTAAATCGCAAATATCTTAGGCCACAGCGCCCGCCAATCACCCTAAGATGTAAGGTCTGTCTCTGAAGTTGCAAAACTACGACGCCGCTGTACCTGTCACTACTGCATTACTCCATGAAGTCTGAGGAGATAGTGGAGTACATCAGGCATAAAGCCAAATACACTCTGAGGGTCGAGCGATTGGAGTCCCGCCACAATGTAAATTTTATTTTAATTCGTTTGAGCTGAGAGTGTTGACCGAACATTTATCGACCTACATCAAGGAAGAGTTTTGGCCGAAGGGTGTTATGTACCGGCGATTCCGCGGCGGGTTACCTGGCACCAGTTACAAATAGTGTATTATTATATTGTATGTATGTTATTCCTTAAGGTATATATTATTTGTATTATTATGTATGTTAGTCTGAAAGGTATGTATTTGTGGGTCTTTGTAACCTGAATACAAATAAATAAATAACAAAAGATTATTTGACAAGTCCCATGTGCCTGTAATTTCACCTACTACTACTAATATCTTAATATATACTTGATATGCTTCACTTTTACATTATCCGAGTCACCACTCTATACCAGTGGTACCCGTATAGTCCAGACAGAAACAGGGATTACTACTATTTTGTTGGCTGGCGTGTGTCTAATAGCCAGTAATCAAAGCTAAAGCATCTGCTACACCTAGATCTAAGGCAATTGACTTAAGTCAACGTATTTTTTATTTCGTTCCAGGCCCTGTACTCTTGTACTCCGTTCAAAACGATTACTATTAAATATGTGATGCGAATGAAGCTTCGGTACTTTGACAAGTTTGGTCGAGTATTACTTATTTGACAGTAACTTTAATGGACGAATGTCGAGCGGAGAACGAGACTCACTGATCCAAAGATGTAAAGCACGGTTTAAACATACTTATCTCTCCAGTATCCAAATCAAAGTCGAATGCTTCTATCATCTTAGTGCTCGAGTCTATGTAATAAAGCACCGAGCTGTTCAGCGACCATGTAATACCATTTGAGATCGTCACAGGACGTAGCGCCACACGTTTGTTATAGTAAGGTTTCTCAATGCAATACAGACTGCCCTGGTCTGGTTCCACGGTGTCGTTGAATTGATGGCCTTTGGTACCTTGAAATGTAAACATGGTAGTAAGTTTCACGTGCCGTAGTTACTAGCTTGACTCTTCGTGTTGACTAGCGCAGAAAAGGGTCAAATGTGCTAGAGTACTTAGAAGACGCTGTTGCTGCTATTTTGTTCATACTTTCAAGCTATTTCAATGATCCCAACATTATACTGAATACTAATGTGATCAGATGGTTTTCTTGAAACTCAATATGGAATCGTTGCGATCCAATATAATGGTACAATCACGGAAGAAATGACACATAACTATCGAGTAACAGAGTAAAATATAACCAGAAATAGAGACGAAATAAGGGCCATCCATCCCTGGCAACTCATCAGACAAAGGGCCTTATATCACTTTTAAATATCAACTCGTTTGCGCTGAAATCCCAAATTGAAAGCTGAAATAGTACAGCGCCAACAACTGACCTGTGTATACGTCTCCGTATTTTTCAAAAATATTCTGTATTTATTGTAACATCTGTAACAATTGGGGCCTGTACTATTCGGTGGTATGGGAAAAACATCAAAATAGCTAATTATTAAACAGACGTAATCACATTTCATCGGTAATTAAATATGTCATTTTTCAAATTACGTCCATTATAGCTCAAGCTCAAATTAAACTGGTAGATTTGACGACACCCGTCAATTGTTTCGAATTTGGGCTGGCCAATCGGAGCACAGTTGTCACAGTAATGATTTGGCAGAATAGTTTTCAAACAAATTAAATGACATTACGTCTCCATTTCTGGTTATATACTCGATGCACACAACATACCTCCCCAAAAACGGCCCCGCGCGTCAGCTTTCCCCTCATTCAAGATATTGTCTGGTTTCCCTTCATCAAGACTTGTCACAAGTCTCAAGGCGTAGTCTCCTGGTTTGTCCATGTCGAGAAGAAATAGCTGTGCCCTCACAGCGACCAGCAACCTTTTACTATTTGCTATCGGCATCACTATATTCACTTCGCCGTATTCTAGGAGGGAAAATATGAATTGATATAAAAATACTACTTCCGTTGTAAATCTATTATAGATTATAGACCTACGGTGTGTTTCGCGCTTATATAGCGGCAGCAGTTTTTCCTTAAATACGGTATAAAATAAGACGAGTAGTGTATCAAATTATAACTTTTTTATAAAAAAAACTTACGTCAAAAGTTCGTGGAATTACATCTATTTGCCAAGATTTATTGAAATTGTTTACTGGAAAGATCGCGAAACCGGATTCATCCCATACTTTGCCACCCTTAGTGGTGGATTATTTTCTTCAAATTTGAATGAGACCAATACTGAGGTACCCTCTTTCCAACAAAAAAAGAATCTTCAAAATCGGTTCACAAATTTCAACGGAGTTATCTCGTAACATGCAAAAAAATACTGTCGAATTGAGAACCTCCTCCTTTTTTGAAGTCGGTTAAAAATACAGTAAATTACAGACGCATGGGACTTGGCAACTAATATCTCAGGGTGATGGGCGCACTAGCAGTGCCCCTAGCTCTTTGCGATTTAAAGCTTTGAGTGACACTGCAACAGCAGGCGCACCACATGTGCCATCACTTGGTGTATTTAAAAAAAAAACTAAAGCCTTTTTGGCGCGTCAATGACTACACGTCACTCGCAGCGTAGGTTTATCCTCTGGTTGTACCTACAGGTTGCAACACAATATTATGAATAAAATTAACGTATTCATCACAGTTTTCTCGTGTTATATTGAAATAACCTTTGCGAAATGCAGTGCTTAGTTATATTTTTATATAAGTACATGGATAAGTTTCATGTAAGTTATTTTTGCTTGATTCATTATTTAAATAAACGAGTATATTATCGTGAAATATTAAATAATATTTTCAGTTTACAACTCGATAAACTCGAATAATCAATAATACTTCGTGATAATATACTAGAATATTTAAATAAGAAAAATTGCCACCGAAATTGGGTAGGCAAATTAGTTACCCACATCGATTTTATTATACCGACATCGCTAATTAGTATCTCAATTATGGGAGTATGATCATGAAATATAAATGAAATGAGAGTTTGTCTATACATAACGATACATTTCTAAGTAAAAAAAATATAAATTTGACACAGTTTTTTTAATATAAAGTATGAGAATGCTTCAATCTTCTTCTTCAGTCTAAAATAAGGTGCGACCCGCGACGTAGAACTCGAATGCACCGCGAGATTATGCGAAAGTGTGCGTCTATGCAAAAACGATAAAGTTATCTACACTACTTACCAATCCTTTTCATCTTATGCTCCATAGTATCAAATTTCATCGCATGGACCTCTTGTTGCAAGGCGTCCACCCAGTAAAGAGTTTTTCTGTTACTGTCCCACACAGGGCTTTCGGCGTGCACGAATGAAATGTTCATGTATTCGAATGTCTTCTCTACCTTGTTACTTCCTTTCGTATGCTCTGTGAGGGTCTTAAAACGTCATATGTTTAATGCGTGCAGTCGTAATCAACTTCATGCAGCAGAGACCTCGACTGCCTAACCATTTCACACATTAACTGCATGCAATCAACCTCGGCTGCATGAAGGCGGTTTCGACTGCATGCAGTTCATACGTGAATTCGTTATCCGAGACCTCAGCATGAAGTTGATAGCGACTTTACGCATTAACTGCATGCAGTTCATGATCCGAAACCGACTTCATGCAGCTGAGATCAACTTCAATATTTATTAAAAAAGATAGGAAAACAAAGACACGACGCAAGCACATAGAAAAATTCGTGAGGTCCGTTGGTTCGTTCCGTGGCTTAGTTGGTATAGCGTCTGACACGGTATGCAAGAAGACGTCGGTTCGAATTCGACCGGATCGAAGGAATTTTTTCTGAGTGTTTTTTCTGAGTATTCGATCTTTGTATTAATAATTATAACAAAGTAGTGGAGTAATTTCACAAAAAATAATTGAATATCAATTCAATAAAAATTTAATTAATAGGAAATCAAAATTATTATGTATTTTAAATATTCGATTATGGTGATGCTAGATAGGCCACGCCCTAATTTGACCTAAATCTTTCAAGTATGGAATAAATGTACATATTGTCGCTTAACAATCATCGCTCAAGTCAGTTCGAGTATATACAAAGGAGAGTGAAAAAACTGTATTTATGTATTATTGTATACAGATTTTTTAAGTGGATAACAAATAATTGTATTAGTGTTGTTTATGTCATTTTTATTTACATTTTATTTCGACTTGAGAAGGACTGGAGCAACGTTAAAGAAATTAGGGTTTGTAACTGAACCCGGATTTGAAGTTGCTATTGAACCCGAAATTTAAGAACGCCAATTTGCGAGTTGAGCGGTTTTGTTTTGTGGGGTTGGAGAGCTAAAAGGTCGGGGTGGAAGGAAACTGAGTGCGTTAGGACGTGGTAGAGTGAGCAATGTAAGTGTAATGTGAAGGTGAAGATCGGAGAAGATGAAGACACGGAGGCATCTCCTCGACTCTTGGAGACTGAGGACAGAGGTGCAGAACCGAAGAGCAGCGAGGTGGTAAGCTGGATAGCGGCTGTAGAGCAGAACCAGAGGGCAGCGAGGAATGATGACGAGCCGACGGTGGTCGTGCAGCAGTGGATTATATCTATATATTTGTACTCGGAGGTGGAGTCGGTCAGCTTCAATTACTCCTGCCGCTCCAAACTCGCTTGGTGAAGGTGAGGCACACAGTCCAGGTAGGAGGAGCGTAAACGTGACGACCAGGTTTAGCGTGAGGCAATCAAGGAACTGGTCATCCGGCAGGCGCGTAAGCGCGGTAGGAGTAAGGCCAGATGTAGGGCTTCGAAAAGGTGAGATATTTACTAGATCTGGTGAAGACCAGATGCCTCCAAGGTCGGTACAATAATGACGAGCATTCGCTAGAGCGAGAGAGAGCATCGAAATTCGATTAGCGAATTTTGAATTTGAAATGAAGAGCCAAAATGAGAACAGCCAGGAGCGGAAAGGCTTCTACTGCTAAGATTTCATATCAAAGGACGAATAATTTATAGGATAATATATGGAAGAATAGGTTGTAGAGGGGTAACATATCTGTAAATCAATGTCAACATATAAAAATATTAAATACGAATTCTCATAATCTTACTAAATGTGTAATTTTTTTCGGATTCAAAAAGTTCTCTTCAAGCTATTTTATCTAACCAACTTCGTAGCAAAATTAAATCTCCAGTCATCCTAAAAATTCAACAGACCCTGCACTGTCTTGCTGCTAGCAGCAACCTCTCTAGAGAGGTAGAGGTCTCATTGGCTTGGATTTCCAGTCACATTGGTATCCGAGGGAACGAGACAGTGAACCAATACGCCAAGAACGCGACCTTCTCAGGCTGTCTCACATTATACAAATGTCACGCTCACGACCTGACTTCGTTAGCTAAGGACCGTCTAGATTTGAACGGACATGCGCACAGGGTTCGAACTAGCCAAGAGAAAGGCGCGTACTATGCCCACGTTTAAAGTAACATTCCAGTGAAACCATGCTTTTTTAAGTTTCGCGAAGCTAGTAAGGTAACCACTTCCACGATCTGTGGACTGAGACTGGGTCACACTTGTTCCCCTGTGTTCCTCAATAAAATCCGTGTCAGAAACGAGGGTACCCTTGATCGCATCTTCTTTGAATGTCCTAAAATGACTTCCTCGTTGTATGACCTCCTTCCTTCCCTCTTCCTCGTCCTGTTAACCTTAAATCCCTTCTTCTTTATGTGTATTCTCCCTTTATTAACATTTTGTGTGATTTTATACGCTCCAATAATATAATGCTTCAATCCGTTGTTTGTCCAGGATGGTCTTTTTTTAACCCCAGGTATGATCTCCATAACAGCATTCCGTCGAAGAGATTCATCTAAAAATAAATACCTTGCTGCTACCGAATCGTTGACGATTGAACAATATTAACTGACAACTATAATTAAAACTGACACTGGCCCAAACCTAGTATACGAAGTAAAAATGTTTATAAAGTGAAATCGACAAAATAGTACGTAATTAGCAGTGGAAAAACGAATAGCAAAATTCGGAGATACTATCAGTACGATAGAATAATCCAAGGTCGGGTTATTTTAGTTAATATTAGTTGGAACTCTTTCAGGAATTAGGAAAGTACTAGAAAACGTATAATGAGAGGGATGATAGGGGTCGGTAGTTTCACACTATAGTTTCCTCAGCGACAATTTGCCTGCATCCTGTGTGTAATGGCGCACACCAAGTTGTCAGGCGTCACTCGGTTGCCCGCCCATAGCGGCAAGCTACCCGGTATATATAGTGAGTCGTCTGACGGTGGTAGTTTGCTGTTTGCGAAGTAATCTGCTGAAGTTCGGCAGACAACCCGTAAATGCGACCTTCCGTACCCGGCAATCTGGACGTTTCCGACTATTTGTTTAGAGAGGGACCACTCCAGTCCAGCTATTCATTCGATATAGAAATGATGCAATAAATGATGTATTGATTCGCGTGAACGCAACCTAAAATTAATTTAACCCAACTGCAACTTTTTCTTTCGTTTTGAAGTCTTATTTTTAAGTAGATTTGTAAATAATTAGTTTTTAATAAAAGGGCTTTTAATACGTTATGGTTAGGGCGTGCCGTCATGATCTAACGCGATAACTTGTGCGTTTATGGAACGTGACATCTAGTGATGTCAAAGTCTTCACCCATTTGTTCCGGCAGCTAGACCTTTAAGATGCGAAACATTTGTCTACCCCTTAGAGGTAGACAAATGTTTTGCTATGCTGCCTCTTCTTATATTAGTATCTTTTCCATGTTAAGATGGATAAAGCGACAAGCGTGTGTTCTTATATGATTTGTGTCATATGCGTTGAAGAGTTGATGCCTAGTATTTATTTGGTCTTTGGTTGATGCTATTTATTTGTATAGGGCAGGGTAAGCATGTATATTTTTCAATAGGCCTTCCGTTGAAAGCGAAAGGTTTGACAACTAATTTGACGCCGTCGACAAAGACCGGCTCTTGAAAGAAATTCAGGCTATCCTGTCTTACTTCGCAACGCTTACATCTTACGTCTTAGCTTGCCCAGAAAATTTCACCCTCATTTATGGTTTCGTTAACCCCTGAGGAACTTTGACTTGAACATACATTTCAAAAAAAACACTCTCACTCTACAACAAACACAAGTTTACTGAAGATCTAGCAGTTTACCTTAATATATATTTCGTACTGAAGATTTAGCTTTGCCTTTAGGTGCACAAAATTATTAAAGAAAAATTAAAGTCGAATAATTGACAGTATGGCTCAAACGCTTTATTTAGCCTGTCCCGAAATATGAAAATTTTACTAATATTTAAAATTAAATTATTAATAACCATAACATAAATTTCCGTTCACGCTAATTTACACTTTTAATGAATAAAAACTTACGCTGCCATCTCGAAGGGCAAATGTGTCGTATTCTTTGATAAGCAGAATAATTACGCAGAACAATAACATTATTTCTACGAACCGTTCTTCGAGTCAGTACGAACAGTATAAGACTAATTGCATACATGGCACTTGCTAATTACTTCATAAGCTTATTTAGCTCACTTCGTGGTCTATTATAGCGTAGAACTATGGTGCATTAATTGATATTGAAATTAACTAATTTTCACGGAATTGTAACTTTCAACGTAAACCTTTTTTCCTTATATAATAATAACACACACACTCAACATAGCCCCGCGCTAGGGAAACCCTGTGTCGCGGGTGCCATAGACACACATATAGGCAACCACAAATTACACCCAAACTCACGAGAGAAACAAATGTAGGTCATACAAATATTTCTCCCGGCCCGGGAATCGAACCTGGGACCTCTGCGTGGCAGTCCGGCATGGTAACCGTTCGGCCATAGAGGCAGTTAAGTAAGTAAGTTAAGTTAGAGGCAGTTTTTCCTTATATAAAAACCTGCTAACACACAAACTACACTACACAAAGACAAAATGCACACATAATATCCGGAAAAGTTTGTTACAATTTTGTAATGTTTTTAACTGTTTTCTCTAGTTTGTTAATCTTTGATAAATCCGATAACAAAAGACGTTTTAAGTATATCTTCTTGATATCGTGTCCAATATACAGCAAGGCTGCCGGTCATCAGCCCCTCCCGAGATCTTAAAGTCACCTACCAGCGCGCGTGTTAGATAAAGGACGCTGTACAGACGAAGATGGGCACGATGTTGGCTGAAGAGGAAGCGAAGGCTTTGGTTGAGTCGGAGGACTATCGGGATCATTGATATAATAGGCGGGCTTGAGCCTTTCGGTGATAGTTCTTCCTTCAAGATCGTTCATAGAGAAACATGGGTTTTTCCGATAAATCGAATTTGCAACGGCTTTTTGTGCCACCTCGATTGTCCTTAATATCTCAAATAAAATTACTCCTATTGCTACATACCGACTAATAGAGGAGTTGTTTTAAAGTGATAAGGACAATAAATTCTACACATCCATTTTGTATTGGTATACTACGTGAGTGCGCGAATGACAATAGCGCGAAAATGGTTGTACGAAAGCTTAAATGCGCGATAGTTCATTTGCGCGAAACCTTAAATGTTCGATAGTTCATTTGCGAGAATGGTCAGTTGCACGAAAGTTTGAATGCGCGATAGTTCTTTTGTGCGAATGACGATAGCACGAAGACATTTATGGACAAGATTTGACTCCCATGGCTGCAGGTAGTTGCAATTCTTTACAATGAAAAGCTTTCATAATAAACTACGTTTATTTTTGTAAAAGTTTATTAGGGTATACTTCCAACATTTAACTTGCCTTCCAGCTTTTGTAAATCTGTCTTCGTGCTATCGTCATTCGCGTAATCGGCATTCGCACTCACGTAGTACACCCAACTTGGTTTGATTTCAATTACGCTCTTAGATTGAACAATAAGCAACTACATTTCTAACGTAGGTATAATTACGTGTATTTTTTATGATGTATCTTTTTATGATGTTTTTTTTATGATCACAAATTACTGCACGAACAAGTCGTGCGTCTGTGGCTTCGAGTATATAACCAGAAATAGAGACGAAATATCATTTATTTTGTTTGAAAACTATTCTGCCAAATTCATTACGGTGACAACCATGGCAACTGCGCTCCGATTGACCAGCCCGAATTCGAAACAATTATTGCCCGGTGTCGTAAATTGTTCCACTTCAAATCGACCAGTTTAACTTGAGCTTTGCTACGATGGACGATAATTGATAAATAACACACATATTTAATATTTAATTACCGATGAAATGTGATTCCTTTTGTTTTGTAATTAAATGTTTTGCTGCTTTTCCCACACCACCGAATGGAACAGCCCCCCATAATTAGAGATATTATCTTTATTACAATAAATCATCGAGTATATAACCAGAAATAGAGACGAAATGTCATTTAATTTGTTTGAAAACTATTCTGCCATATCATTATTGTGACAACTGCACTCCGATTGGCTAGCCCGAGTTCGAAACAATTGACGGGTGTCGTCAACTGTTTCACTTCAAATCGACCAGTTAACTTGAGCTGCTATAATGGACGATAATTGCAAAATTACATATTTAATTACCGATGAAATGTGATTCCGTTTGTTTTGTAATTAGATGTTTTGCTATCTTTCCCACACCACCGAATAGAACAGCACGGCATTGTTAGAGATATTATCTTTATTACAGTAAATACAGAATATTTCTTGGAATATACGGAGACGTCCGCACAGGTCAGTAGTTGGCCTGTCTATATTTCAGTACAAACGGGAGTTGATATTTATTAGAGCTGTATCGCTTATGTGTTACCAGGAATATATGGCCCTTATTTCGTCTCTATTTCTGGTTATATACTCGATGCAATAAATACAGAATATTTTTGGAATAGTTCAGTTGTTGGCGCTGTACTATTTTCTTCTTTTTATTTATTTTAGCTTTCTAATTTGTGATTTTTAAAACGAGAGTTGATATTTAAAAGTGATATAACGCCCATTTGCCTGATGAGTTGCCAGGAATGGATGGCCCTTATTTCGTCTCTATTTCTGGTTATATACTCGATGGTAAGTGGTAATTAGCAACGCGCCTACCCATAACAGTTACAGTGTCATTTAAAATAGCATAGATTTGGAATGGACCTGTCGTCCAATTTGACCTTCGGCAGATACATTGAATCCATGACCAAAAATGCAGCAAGGAAGCTTGGGATCCTTTCCAGGGTGAGGCGTTACTTTACACCGGGACAGATGCTTCAGCTGTACCAAGCACAAGTCCGATCGTGCGTAGAGTACAGCTGCCATCTTTGGAATGGGTCTGCCACATATCAACTGGCCACTTTGGGTTCAATTGACAAACGTGTCAAGAGTCTTTTAGGTGACTCGGAATTAGTGGAGACGAAGCTGCAGAGCCTTGAACACCGTCGTAAAGTTGCTTGCTTATCGGTATTTTTCAGGATATATCGCGGAGAGTGTGCGATGGAATTACACGATTTAATTCCGCCTTCCCCTTTCCATCACCGAGGGACTAGGAGTTGGCTTGGGCACATTTATAAAGCGAACGGCTATGGAGTGGAATTCCCTGCCTGCAGATTTGTTCACTGAACGTTATAACTTGGGTCTTTTCAAGGCGAGAGTGAATAGGTATTATATAGGTGTGCATGCTCCATCGTCGACCTCATCGTCACTCTCCATCAGGTGAGATGGAGGTCAAATGCGTACTTATATTCTATCCTATACTATACCCGTCACCTTAAGACTTAAAGTTGACAAGTTCCACATGGAACTTGTCAGCTGCTGCTTGGCACATGCTGGTAAAACAACAAGCTAGTGCTCCCTCTAGCCTACTAAAGCGGAAAGCATTCATGCTTGCACTGCTATTTGGCGGTAGTAACAGTTAAGCTGGCAGTATTTCCCTGGACGAACTCTTCCACAAGGATCTGTGCTGCTACCAGTACAGAGTACAGGTGGTGTAGAGGATTACATATTGTTATTTCACGGAGTGATGCTATTTATTAACACAAACAACGTTGATTGGGATCTTCTTAAAATCATAAAAACTAACCAACATTTTATTGTCCCGGGAATAAAAGTTGGTATTAGTGAACCGAGTCACCCTCTGAATTATCGTGACATTATCTTTGAATTATAGTCACCATATATCGTTGTTCATTTAGCAGCGCTAATCAATTGACAGATTAGTTCTTTAAAATTTCGCAATATGGCTTCTTGTCTTCGCGTATAGCCGACGACGCTTAATTTCGAGTTCCTAGGTTTTCGCGATTCTTACACATTGGAAATGAAGCTACATTTTCTCTAAATCGCGTGTATTTGTTTTAAAGAAACCAAAGTTTCAAATTTTGTTTTGTTTTGTTTCAAAAACCAAAAACACGCTATTTAGATCCAAAAAAATTTCATTTCCGACGCTTCGTTTGTTTTTTTTATGATACCTAAGGATGAGACGAACAAGTTGTGCGCCGCGTGGTAATGGTAAGCAACACGCCTAGCAGTAATGGCAACATGACAAGTTCAATTGTGAGAACTTGTCATAATTATAAATAATAAGGCAATCTAAACCAAACAACGAAATTAATACACAATAAATAAATAGTACATAATAAATCTATTATGTATATTCAAAAATAGTGTTAGTAACTGTCGGCGTTGTCCATTCTAAAAGAGTTGTGAGGCATGCCGTGATGTCCGGTGTCGCGAATGGTGAATATGGCCCCGGCGAGCGGTTCCGCATTCTGGTCCACGCGCAGTCGGGACGTGGTCACGAACAGCTCGTCCATGTTTGGCCCACCCCACGCCATCGATGTGGTCCGAGAAACTGGTAACTTGTACCCGAAGATTACGTGTCTGGCGTCTGGATTAATGTGCAGTACCTGAACAAAAGCACAATACCAGTATCTGTAATTGGTTCTTATCTACTTGTATAGTCAGCAATAAAATTATTTGATCGATCAAACGGCCTGAACACAGAAACGGACATGTGCACCTTGAATTTAAAAAAATAGGAAATTTTGACAAAATAAATATAGTGAAGAAAGTCTAGTAAGTTTGTCACATGTGATGCTGATGGCAAAGGTACCGTTTAAACCCAATTAAAGGTCTGCAACATGCACTTAGAGAAATTCGTAAGACCTGCTAACTCTATCTGCAACTTAGTATTTCCTTGTAATATTATTCAAATATTGATACTCAGTAGAAGTGGTTAGTTAGCGTCAGACGTGTGCCAGCGTTAGGACTCGAAAGACGTACTTGAGCTCAGTCCCCCACTTTGTATGGTATGGCTGTGTCATTCCTTTGTGCAATATCTCTAAAATCGCAAAAAATGTCTTGTAGTAGTATTTCATATCCTCTGTAAGTGTTATTTTGATAAATATTTAATTTTCTGCTTTTCGAATTGATTCAAATATTAATCGTTCGTCGTAATCCAGCTACTGGCCGCAAGATGGCAGCACGTTGAATAAAAGTTCATTATAAAAACAAAACGTGACTTGCAATAAAGGCATTGAACTTTCAACGATATAACTGGGTAAAATATAATTATATTTAACTGTTTCCGTGGCCGAACGATTACCATGGACTGCCACGCAGAGGTCCCAGGTTCGATTCCCGGACCGGGAGAAATATTTGTATGGCTTACATTTATTTCTCTCGTGAGTTTGGGTGTAATTTGTGGTGGTCTATGTGTGTGTCCATGGCACTCGCAACACAGGGTTTTCATAGTGCGGGGCTATGTTGAGTGTGTGCGTTATTATTATTATATTAACAATCGAGAATTTGTTACATCTTTTTAAATTAGAAACTATGACCAATCATTATCAAGGTTTCGTAGTGTTTATTATTTGTTTGTGTGCGTTTTGATGACAGCGGTTCCGGTAGTAATGGAGACCTAAGACACTTCCATTGTTTTTCTCTTCTGTGGTATTAATAGATGGCATTGTGTGTTACAAACGAATTTAAAAATCAACGCTTACTAACATCGGTAGATGGCACTAATCTTCAACAAAATAAAAGATTAGCTGCCAGTATCCATTAAAAAAAGTTGTAAGCAATGAGCGCCGTCTAGTTCATTTGTTTATTATTCCTAAAAATTAGAGTAGCTTTGATAAATTGCAGCTCACCGATGTAAAATAAATTAGTTACAAAATAGCTTTTTGGTACTCGTCGATGGTGCACCAAGAGGTACTAAATACCCAACTACGTTTTCTTATATCGCGATTAGAATTCCCTTGAGTTATTGATATATATTGATCAATGGTATGTAAGAGCGGAGGGAGGCAACAGACGCTGGTTACAGTCCAGTCAGATCAAAGCTATCTTTCTGAGTTATTCGATCTTGATGGTCTTTCCGTCCTGAGTTATTCGATCTTGATGGTCTTTCCGTCCTGAGTTATTCGATCTTGATGGTCTTTCCGTCAAAGTAATTAATTATATAGTTGATTGTATTAGGCCTTACTTACATTTTTATTTTCTACTCTAATTATTACTTAAGTTATTGTTTTCTAAATTGTTTTAAGTTGCCTCCGATTAACCAAGTTGTTTTAAAAATAAAAAAAATCGCCAAAAATATTTTGTTTTCCTACTTAGGCGTTTTGTAAATTACGCGTGGCTACATAGTATTACTATTAAAAAAAAAACAATATGACTTACTGTGCCTCCAAACATAAGCGCGACCCATAGGTTGCCATTACTGTCTATGGTCATCCCATCTGGGATTGATTCGTCATATCCGTACGCCGCAACCTCAATTATAATCCTTCTCCCACCTGCATAACGGCAATTACTTTACACTCGTATGAATAGTTCGAAAGATGCAAGCGCACCTTTAACTCTATCTTCTTGTACTATGTAAAAAGTGGATTGCAACACAGCTGTGTGTATGAGTGATGATAAGAGGTACGTATACGTAGGTACGTAGGACTATACTCGTAGTACCCCTATACTTATTAAATAGTACCCGGTGTCTTACTACAACTTACACACTTTAAGCATGTTAGACACCATGCTCTTACTTCGCCCGTTCGCATTTGACCTTTCAAACATTGTGTACACTGAGTAATTTTATATGCCTTTTTAAGGACATCCACGGATCCCTAATCTGGTTAAGCTATGTACAGCGAGGCTGATTTTCCTCACGCACACAAATCAATCTAAGCTGTATTTGTAGAAGGCCGCTACAATTTTTTTTGTTATTAAAACTTTTATTACATTCCAAAATGAAGTAGGTACAAATGAGTTTTTAGACTCGTATTTTGTAATGAGCACTGTGCAGTAAGTATTTGAAGTACTTACACATGAAACACATATTTGATATATAAATCATTGACCTACCAATAAATGGACGTCGGGTCTGCGCTTAAAAGTGTCCGCATCTATAGGGCGTTAAAATCACATACAGAGCGTCAATCGCGCAACAGTCTTCGTTTGTTCGACTGTCAGCGCGGTTGTCAATCATGCAGTACCATATAATAATAACTTGTAAAAATTACTGCAGTAAAGTGTAAAAACAGGGTTTTGTACCATATTTTCACTAAACAAATATATTGTGTTGTCATAGTTCTCATTTAAAAATGTTATTTTGTGTAGTTTTATAGTATTTAATTTATATATAAATGAACCCTTAATATAAATTACAAAAGCACACAAAATAATCAAATAGCTAACTGTCCTTTTTCTATACATTGCATGCACAAAAGATGGAAAGAGACCCATTGTGTCAATTTCAAGAAGCTTATAGGTATATAAACTTCTTGGTCATTTTCAATTGTTCGAACCACAAGCGATTCAAATATTTAGAACAAAGAAACTATAGAGTCGCTTTGACTTTTCTAAAATGATTTTTAATTAAACGTTAGCAATAACCAACAAAATATTGTTGTATACGTTTTACGGTTTGGGATTACCTATTAGAAGTCAGAAAATACATTTGCCAGAAATAACGTTAGCTCGAATTTTCATAATGTCAAATCTATTTTTTTATGAAGATTACAAAATAAAAACTAGTTTTGTCTTTGTCAAAAGCATTAAAATTACACGAAAGCGTAACGGTTTTATTATAAATCGGTTTTCGGAATTACGGATATTTGAGTTTACGTTTAGTTGGAATATCGGTACATTTCTTATAGTATACGCTTATTTTCACATTTGTAGTAATATTTGTATGTATGTTGATGTTAATAAAGAGTTGGGCAGATGCCCAACTCTATATTATTTCTTTAAGTGAATTTGTACAAAATTCGACATAATAATATATATTATAAAAAATAATTAATATTTACGATAAAGGCTACTCCATTACTCTTGTGTTCAAGTAATTTTCAGTCGAAGCTAAATATGGTGCATTTTGTTAAATTTCCAGTAGAAGCTGAATATGGTGTTTTTGGGCCCTTAAATTGTTGCAAGCAAAATTAGGCAGTACTGCAATGACGTTACAATTAAAATTAAATGTACGCCTGAACCGACGCGGACGCAGCGGCACCCTTACTGCAACGTCAACAAACGGCTATGCCCGAACGGCTCCATCGACACACAACAAGGGCAAAAGCCAGCACTGATCTCACATCAAGACTTCAAACATTTTAGACTTACTAATATCCCCCTTTTGCGTATCATAGTCGTACGCCACAATCCTTTGCGTTGACGAGTCGATGTAATAAAACACCGTGTTGTTGAGAGCCCACACAAGACCATTAGAAATGGAAACCGGCTTTATGATGATACGAGGGTTGTCTAGGCTGTCCTGCGTTACACTGTACAAGGCCGCCCGATCTGGTTGGACATCGTCTGCGTTTTGTGGACCTTTAGTACCTGGACATAGAAGTATGGACGAGTTTATTGTGTTACAGATCAGTGGTTGACTGTTACGGGAGACACCATGGTAACTTATATATGAAATTACGCCTGTTTACCAATTTGTTTCGTAATTGCGTCCATTTCACTTAGCTTGACCATGAAACTATGGGTACTTACACCTTTTTCTCTTACGGTAACTTCATACCTAATCCACCTAGGATAAAATGAAAATAGTGGCAGATTCGTCTTAAAACTGTATAGCTTTACTCAAAATTCTAGGAACCCTTTACTTGTCTTTTATTTATTTAAGAGGATTTGACCTACACGATTATAAAATCGTACAAACTATCTGACATCCACGCAAAGCCTTTAGTGTCACGTGGCTTGTGAAATAAAAAGAATACACCAAATATTACATAGGCATAAAATTGTTGTTGCAAAGATTACTTTAATTCCTAATGCATTATTGTATTTATCGCCCACAGCGCACAAATACAATAGCAAAGCAAACAAAATTATTAAGTTTTAATAAGTATGCTGCTGCTAATACGAGGTGATATTGGGCGTTTTAAAATGTTATGTAAGTAATTATTATAGTTTGTTTCTTTAATGCATCTTACGTGTTGCCGTAAGACTTACCAAAAAAGAAACGCCCGTCGACATCTGCTTTGCCTTCATTTATAACGTTATCCGGTTGGCCGTTCTCTACTGTGGTGAGAAGACGCAGCGCTGAGTCCCCTTTGCTATTAAAGTCCAAGAGGTAAAGCGACGTCCGCACCGAAACGATTAACCTCTTTGAATTTGCCACTGTTGTCACCAAATTTGGCTCGCCATACGCTGCAAAATAATTCGTTTGATCCATTGACTTACAAATAAATGGACGACGGGTCTAATACAAAAACAACGAAAAAAATGTCCCAAGTCAACCTATTCGAAATTTAAATTGTAATGTCATCGCAGTATCGCGCTGTCAGTAGAACAAATGAAGACTAAAGCGGAGTTTGGCGCTCTGTATCCGATTTTAGCGCCTTACAAGTGCGGACACTTTTTAGCGCGGACCCGACGTCCATATAATTGTAAGTCAATGGTTTGATCATATATCTTCACCGTGATCAAATAACAACACTGAATTGCCCTTACCGATATGTTTGGTTAGAATCTTGCCGGTGCTGTATTCGAGTTTATGGACGTTCTGTTGAACCACGTCTACGAAATAGAGGCACTGTTGTTCGGTATCCCACACGGCGCTCTCGCCGTGCAAAAACACCGCAGGGTGCCCTGGATTATCTAACGACGCCACCTGCTCAGAATCGCCGAAATCATTCTCCAAAAACAATAGAACTGGTGTTTACTAACATTACACAAGTTCCTATTCGAAACAATGCTCAAGTCGCTGTATGTATTGTTTCGAGTGGCTTATAGAAAACTAATTTACTCACCATCGAAACTTTGTAGAACCTTTTCACATCATTAGCTGCTGCTATGTGGAGGATAAAATACAACAGAAACACTTTTCCTACGGTCATTTGAATCAGCGCGCCCGCTCAGGTACCGCAGTGACTTTGGTCTAATGAACACTGGCGAACAACTGCGTAAGCGGTGCAAGTGGTGACTACAAAAAAGTCGTAAAAAGAAATCACAAAAAGTTCATAGTTAAGTGATAAGGTGCGGCGGATATGAACTATCGCAAGCCCCTAATGTAACATGTATTCGTAAAGTAATTATCGCGATACAAAATAACTAAGGCGTCCGTTAGCTCAGACAGTTGTTATTATAACTACTGTTGGCATCCAAAAACAACACCAATATGTATATTTATAAAAACGAAACCTACTGTTGTATGACGTCATATAAATAACACAATTAGGTTAGTTCCCAGCACTTCAGTCAATCTTGCTTACCCAGCTGCTCTGAACACCTTTTATATATATCTACAATGTGTCGCTGCGGTCGCACCCCTTGTGCTTTGACGCTCTGCAATCGTTGTCGTGCAATTCCTGTTTGCTTATTATGATTATTAAGACAAAGCTCGAACACTCAATCTTTTTCGACCCAATAGGACTTGAACCCACGACCATACTGCACTGAACTGAACTACGCGTCAAGTTGTCGAAATCACCTATGTTATTATTAAAGATCTTTGTACTGGATTTTTCGACATTCTCCGTCGCTAGAGACGTCTAGAGAGAGATTTTAGAACCTTCTTCACAGCAACCAGCACCTTTGCAGGTGCCTCAACTGAGCAGATCAAATGTATTATTGAAATTTTTTTTGTGAAATAACTCCATAATATCAATAAGCTACAGAGAGTAGACAGAAAATACTTTTTCGACCCTATGGGACATGAACCCACGACCGTACTGCACCGTAGCATTTATTGCTCTTACCAACTAGTGAGAGATTTTAGAACCTTCTTCATCGCAGCGAGTATTGTCCTGTTTTCTTGTTAATGTTTTATAATTTGTAAATTTTGGTCTTTTGTATTGTGAAATTAGTATACGAATATTTCTTGCTTGAAAAAACATCACTCTGTCACGGATAGTTCAAAATGCTGCTAAAATATTGTCACGCTGTCACCTACATAATAGGGAACCAAATTACATTTCACTTACAATATATTACGTACATTACTTGACATACGCAACTCTCAATTAATGAAGTTTCCTGTGGAAAGGTTAATATGTCAGCAAAGGCTGCAATCTGTTCAATATTACCGGATACTCGGGGCCCAATTTGTGTGTAACAATTCTTTTGTTATATATTAAAAGCCTCATGGCCATTCAGGCTTTTTGAGTAGGTACGCAGACGATATTTTTTCCGATGCAAATTTCAGTGCTTCAAATTAGGATATGTATTTTTGGCGATCTTCAGGGGAGGCCTGTGCCCAACGGTGGCTTCTTTTGGATAAAACCTGCAGTTTTGTGTCATTCATGACGAATTCTATCTAATTTTCTTTTTAAAACTTTTTTATACTATCGAGTGACGGGACGAGCAAGACGTGCGTCTGATGGTAGGCTTCACGCCTGTCCATAACGTTACAGTCACCCAGAGATATAAGTTGACAAGTATGGGACTTGTGCCTGTAATTTCACCAGCACCCTTACCCTTCAAAACCGGAACACAGTGATGCTGACATTACTGCTTGGTGGCAGAAATAGGTAAGGTGGCAGCACTTCCCTGGACGGGCTCTTTCTCAAGGAGCTCACCTGCTACTGATCAACGATCTTCTAGAAAGTTGTATCTAATGAGCTGTCTTACGCGATGACGATAAGAAATAAATTACGTTTCTTCGTTTTTGGCTAGGGACAATGATTACAGGACATAATTTCGATGTCAGATCCAATGTTTAAGTATATGCACAACCACAGTCAATAGAGTTACATCTCGTGCAACTTGGAAATAATGTCGATCATGACAATTTTTTCCAAGTTAGAGGTTTATTCACCTCGGTGCAGATCCTACACATATTTAACTACAAGAACTTGGTGGTGATTTTGCTTACTAACACTATCAACCACTTCTCTAACAATGTCATTATTATAGTAACTTGATCTGGTTTTTTTACATTCATGCTGAATAAATAAATATAAATTGGCATTTTATAATATCTCTCTATCTGTTGCTCCACTACAAAATGATATTAATCAAAGCGTGTTCTCATTATATGAAGGTACCATTACAAAGTGTTTTTCACGGATGTAGCATTAAGGTGCGTAATATCTACAAAATTTTTTTTTAAACAAAAATGAATGAACATTACTGCACCTTTTTGTTATCAAAAAGTTTTATGCTTATAATATATGTTCAGCACAATATGCTGCCGTACGTATACATTCGTGAAAATTTATTTCGTGACAATAATTGGACAGCGCGCTGTATTCCTACCAGTAAAAAATCATAACCACATGATGACCAATCTTTTGTTAATGTTATTCTTTGGATTATAAAATTTCATATTCTATTAACAACGTCAATAAAAATTCTGAAAGAAAATAGGAAAGTATAACCACAAAATTATTTTCCAATAATCGAATTCCTCTCTTTAGGTTAAATATTGCAATGTACTTGTAATGTAAAAAAAATACAGGGCGCCTATGAAATCTATGCCAAAAAATTGGCAGGGCTAATGAGCCCTGGATATAATGATATCCGTTTATAGTTTTATATCTCACTAAATCGGTATATGGCACAATAAAAGACTTCATAACGGTAATAAAATATCAATAATATTGGAAAAGTTGTTTTTATGAATTTTACTTGGATTTGTATTGGAATTTTTTTTTCACATTAAGATTTCGCGTTTTGCAGTGGCTCAAATACTAACCGTGCCACGTCCATAATAAAAAAGAGCTGCATTTGATTGGGCGTCGCGCGACGCCGAGAATCGGACGAATTTGTTCAACTACATTTCCAATTTTAATTAAATTCTTCTCGAAAGTGTTTATGATGCCTAGATTTATAGCTACATAGTTAATATATATCGCTCCTAAGAAGTAATAGTGTGTTGTGCCTTTAATATAATTAACTTTAGTCTACGAAAATGGAGAAGCACATGGTAATCGCTGGAGTTATAGTAACATCAACGGGACTGAACAATTTGGAAGTAGCTCCTGGTTATGTCATGGTTGTGGATGGCAAAGTAAGCGAAATTAGTCTATATTATATACGAGTTTTTATTACCTTTTCTCAGGTATCTCCATTGACTTAGGCCCTATAGTTAGGGTACCTAGGTAGTTATAGGTCAGCTACGGATCAATAATTTATGGACTGTAGTCCCTCGGTGCATGTTCAAAACCTAACATATTTATAGTTTAAGTGTTATACTTTCTCAACAAAACGCCTACCTATCTAGCTTTCCTACAGTGTTCTTTGTTCATAGCAACTGGTATAATGGTTTTAGTTAATATGCAATATTAGTTATTCTTCAACTATGCATATGACGTCCTTTTTTGTACGAAGATTTAACAACTTGCTGTGGCAATTTTGTCACTTTTATGTGCTCCTTTTTTGGCCTTAATTCTGCCAAATGAAAAACTAATAACAACACATTGTCTACACACACGCTACACATGCTTAAAGCCATTTTTCAAGTTCTCTACAGATTTAGGTCTTACAGTAGGGTATATAAGCACTCATAGGTCAGCTAAGGATCAATAATGTATGGGCTGGACTCTCGGCGCATGTGCAAGACCTAACACATCTATAGCTAAGTGATGATTTGTATACAAATAGTGGGATCACAATAGATAGGATAATGATCACAGTGATGAAGGCAGAGATGGGCGGTAGGTTCAAAAACCAATCTGTCCGCCCGGATTTTTACCCAAAGCGCCATGTTTTAACCCATTTCTATTTCCCATATCAGTTTTAACTCATTGAGTTAAATGATATGAATTTGGTATAATTCCATACTTATTAATAATTTATATTAATAATATGTAATATTTAATTAATAACTATTAGTAATAATAATGTTCATAGCTATTAATGTCCACGTCGTAATCCTGTGGACTCTCACTTACTGCGCTGCTTAAAAACTAAATTAGCTATGACAATTAATCCAAAAACTCCTCGCTTTGGCGTGTGACACAATGCATAGTGTTTCAAAATGCCTTCAAATCGGACATTTTTTAGTGGAGCTTAGTATATAACGTGTTTTAATGTTCTAAATGCAGGACGAAAACTCCCGTGTGCCAATTTTACATGGTTTTGAAGAAAACTTTCTTCAAAGTTTTTCGTTAACTTCAAAAATGATTAAAACTCAATAAATAATAATACTATCAGTTATTAACATGATATTAAAAGGAATTTAAAACGTTATTTATTAAGCTTTGTTGCTTTTCCAAAATGTAAGCGAAAGTTGCGAATATCGAATATTTCCTTAAAATGGTTATAGTTTTTTTCTTTATTATTTCGCGTTAGTATTGTATTGTATTTCGCTTTCAAGAAATAATAAAAGAATATTTTAGTTGGACAGTTAGACTTGGAAATACGATCCTAATGGCAAGGACTTGAGTATTATTTCTAGTACTTTAAATCATACTCAAGTCCTGACTTGAGCATTGAGTAGAATTCTGAAATACGATCCTAAGGGTCGTATTCCATAACTCTACTCAATGCTCAAGTCAGGATTTGAGCAGACTTGAGTATGATTTCAAGCACTGGAAATACGACCCTAATTGCAAGGACTTGAGTATGATTTCTAGTGCTTTGAATCATACTCAAGTCCTGACTTGAGCATTGAGTAGAGTTCTAGAATATGACCCTAAGACCTAATCGCTAGAAAAGATTTGCTTTGAATTTTTTTCCATCCTCTAAGGCTTTGAATGACCACAATTCTTTATCTAATTTATCATTACTATCGAGTGCAGATGACCATTGCCAACATAATAATATGCATAACGTCTGAATTTTCCCTAAAGGATGGAAAAGAATTTTCAATGAATTACGTAGTTGTCTATGGTCTGAATCAATATTTTGAAGCGAAATTTTAATAATGTGTATTTTTTCAATTAAAGATTACCCGTAAGGGCAATATAAAAGAGTTTGAGAGGCTTGAGGGACAGGGTGCCCTTAGGGGTTATAATGTAATCAAAATGCATGAGGAGCAATTCCTGATGCCAGGTTTGATCGACTGTCATACACATGCACCTCAATTCCCAAATCTTGGTTTGGGAATGAATCTCATAGCGCTCTACTGGCTGCAAGAATACATATATCCACTAGAAAGTGAATTTTATAAAACTGATTATGCGAAGGATGTTTATTCTCAAGCGGTGGTAAGTACATTATTATTATGTATTTGTAAAGCTACAAGTTACGACTCACTGATAGAAATAGACCGCATACAGCCCGATATGGTGGAAATCAAATATTTATACGTTGTACGCGGATAGGTTCCAAAACAAAAGGTAAAAATGCGAGAATCACCTGAATGTGGAAAATATAAAAGAGCAATCAACGGCCTACAAACACCATAATATACGGAAGCGATATTTGTGCTTTTTTATTAGGTACACCCGGGTCAATTTCCGCCAGAGGTAAAAAATGTTTAAAATTCAAATAAACAAGATGGCCGCCATTCACATTTTAAAGTCTTCCATCACGGAAACTATTAGAGGTAGGTAGAAAGTGCTGGAATGTCGTAGAGGGTAACAGTGTACAACAAAAAAAAAATCAAAATGGCGGCCGAATAAAAATTGCTTCAATCCGGCTGAAAATTGGCACGCGGAGGTCTTTAGGAATCCTTAATCATAATTATTAAGGGTCAAAAGTTTATTTTCGCCATTTTTTAATATGGCTGTCATGTAAGCGTTTTTTCGTCAAAAATGGCTGTTGAAAGATTTGCTCTGCTTCGACTGAAAATTGGCATGTGGAGGCGTCTAGGAGTGTCGGATAAAAATGTAAGGCATACTCATTGTAGTGAAAAATTAAATGAGATACTTATAGCGTTGCATCTCTCTCTCTCTGTTAGTTTCCTTTATCTTGAAAACTACGCCAAAGAGAAGTATTTTATGGAAAATACAAAGACTGTCTGGCTATCACACGAAATGTCTGGTCTCTAATTAGGGAATTTTCTGTACTATGAATACCAGAATAATTATAACTCTGAGGGCAATACCCAGACCAGAGCCAACTTAGAAATGTACGTCTTCTAAATTGGCCCAAATCGGGAATCGAATCGGAAACCTCCTCATTAAGCGCCCATAGTAGTAACCGCTGTGCCACCGAAGAGCATAAGCACATGACCACGCGCCACAGGCCGAGCCCTACCCCACCTTCTTGACAAGCGTCACACATGTGTTTCCTCGGATGTTGAGCGAACGCGAACAAAAAAAAAATTATAAGATACCAAATTGTAACAAAAATTATGTAAATTGCGAAAATTTGTGTTATAAAATAGAGTCCAGAGTCAAAAAAAAATAAATATTTCGTTATGACCGAATGTTCTATACATTGCACAACATTTGTATTACCTGTGAGTCCTGAACATTGAGGGCCACACATTTTTCTCTAGAACAAAAGTTTTTTATAGATATGAAAGGCAAATTATTCATAACCTTAAAATGCCCAGATATTTGTTCTTCCTAAAGTACACCCGGTCTTAATATAATTATGAAGAAATTCAATTAAAGTATCTATTTTAGTTAAAAACAGTTGTATTTTTCAGTCTTAAAAAAGTAAATATTTCACGAGAGAGTATATTAATAATGTAGCAAACCCGTAAAAAAATCTTTCAAATTAACTTTTGGTGAGAAATTTAATTTAATACTTAGCTCATTAAAATCACGTTGATTTAAGATAACAAAAGAAAAACAGATAGAAGAAAACAATAATGTTCGAAAATAGTCGCGTCCAAAGGTGTTAAAACGTAAAAATCATAATGTGTATAAAATTTTAGTTTAAAAAAACCGTTGGGAATATTGTCATACCATAGGTCATGACCTCCTTGACATACCCATCCCGGCTTGATGTCCACTTAATAGACACCCTGTATATTATAATCAAAACGACTTCTTTGACTCAATGTTCAAAATCAAAATCAAAATCAAAATAATCTTTATTTCATAGGTAAGCATTATTACACTTGAAATCGTCACAATGGTTAAACTCTACCGCTCATTCGTAAGGCAGATTCCCCTGAGAAGAATGAGCAAGAAACTCTAGGGGTTGCTCTTTGTAAATAACATTTACAATATTTTTTATTTGAAACATCAGATTGAGACTACCTCCATGAGCTAAACGGGTTACTACCACGGATTTTTGTCATCCAAGTACGCAGAAGTTGTATAATAACCTTTAGTATAAAGTTTTTGTTTCACTATAGTTTTAAATCTCGTGAAAGGCAAATTTTGTATATCAACCGGAATCTTGTTATAGAAGCGTATACATTGCCCCTTAAATGATTGTTTGACTTTGTGAAGACGACTATCAAGAAAAGCTAGTTTATTTTTATTCCTCGTATTAATGTTATGTCTGTCACTATTTTTCATAAAGAAATTACTATTCCTTTTAACATAAATTATATTTTCATAAATGTATTGTGAGGCTAGTGTAAGAATGTTAATTTCCTTAAACTTATCTCTCAAAGATACTTTGGGGCCCAGATTGTAAATTGCCCTAACTGCACGTTTCTGCAGGACAAAGATTCTATTGATATCGGCGGCATTACCCCAAAGCAAAATGCCGTATGTCATTAGACTGTGAAAGTAGCTGAAGTAAACCAATCTAGCGGTTTCGACGTCTGAAAGTTTCCTTATTTTTTTAATCGCGTACACTGCAGAGCTGAGCCGTTTTGACAACTTACTTATATGGGGACCCCATTGCAATTTAGCATCTAACGTTATACCTAGAAATACAACTGTATCCACAAGATTCAATTTTTCGTTTCTAACTACAATGTTTGTAACCGTCTCTCTAACATTGGGTAATGTAAATTTCACACAATTTGTTTTTTTCTCATTAAGAAGTAGGTTATTAACAGCAAACCAATCAACTACTTTAGATATAGCATTGTTCACATCGTCATAGGAACATTGGTGCCTTTTAACTTTAAATAATAAGGAAGTATCATCAGCAAACAATACTATCTCATGTTTTATACCCTCCATAAGGCTAGGTAAATCATTAATATAAACTAAAAACAAAAATGGGCCTAGAATTGAACCTTGAGGGACACCCATGCTAATTACAGACCCTGACGATCTCGTACCGTTAACATCGACCCTCTGTACCCTACCACGCAAATACGATTTAAGAAGGTCGAGATCACGTCCCGCCACACCATAATGGCGAAGTTTCCTGACCAGTGTATCATGGTGCACACAATCAAAAGCCTTGGAAAGGTCACAGAATACACCAATAGCATCATGTGAGACTTCCCATGCATCAAATATATGATTAATCAACTCTACACCAGCGTCGGTTGTAGAGCGACCCCGAGTGAAACCAAATTGTTTAGGAGACATTAAATTATTACTATAAAAATGTGCACACATCTGATTTAGAATAATTTTTTCAAATATTTTACTGAGAGTTGGTAGTATTGATATAGGTCTGAAATTGGTGGGGTCAGAAATACTACCAGATTTGAAAAGTGGAATAACTTTACTTTGCTTCATGAGGTCAGGAAAGACACCATCATCAACACATTTATTAAAGACACAGGCTAAGTAAGGCGCAATACAATCAACTATAGAACTAATTACTCTGACTGAAAGACCATCAAGATCAGCAGTATTTTTTATATTTATAGACTTAAAGGCTTTAACAATATCGTTTGGAAATACATGACGGAACCTTAAATTAGTGATACTAACTGCATTATTTTCTTTTAGTAAGGATTCAGCGGCCGTGGGAGATGAATTTAACGAATTAGTAGTCAAAATTGGAATGTTGGTAAAAAAATTTTCAAATATTTTAGCAACTTCTGCGTCTGTGTTTACAATTTTGTCATTAAATCTTAGTTGAAAATCTAAGTTACGAGGTTTGACCCTTCCAGTTTCGCTATTTATAATATTCCAAGTCGTTTTTACTACATTCGCGCTGCTTTTTATTTTATTATTAATAAACATTGCTTTGGCTGCCACACAAACACGTTTAAACATTTTCGAATATTTCCTAACAAAATCATTAAAACTGTTACTAGTGTTATAAGTTCTTTCATCGTAAAGATCATACAGCCTTTGTCTACTTTTGTGAATTCCCACAGTCGCCCATTCACTAAATTTTGCTTTTTTGTTTGCACTGTGGGTGCTGGATAAGGAGTGCCCGGGTTTAACTCTCGATAGGACTAACTTAGGAAACGAACTTTTCTAAATTGATTCGCGACTGGGCATCACAAAATGATTTTTTAAGCGGAGGTTCATACGATACAGATAACACAATAAAAAGGTGCAATAATATAAATTCCTTTTTTTCTTTTTGGGTAAAACTTTTTATTACGCTCGTACTTAACACCTTTCAGCGCCGCCTACTGAAAAATGGAACCACCACCGCCTGCTACACCGGTACTCTCCATCTAGATGGAACAATGGAACTAGTGAAAAGTGTGATAGATCAAAAACAACGTGCCCTCATTGGCAAAGTCAGTGGCAATATAGAAAACAAATTCGGATACTATAATAACATTGATACAGAACTGGCTGAAACTAAAACGTTCATTAAGAAAGTTCTTGCTTTGGGCGTAAGTTATCATATAGGTACTATATAGTAGTCGTAGTACATTGTGCCACAGTAGGCGACTACGAACAGGGGTATTCAAAACCCGAGCCGAAGGCGAGAACTTCAGTGGCCCGAACGTATGGTATTGTTGTTCCACCATTGTAGCATAGGTTATTATTTTATTTTTATAACATCAAGTGGCGGCACGAACAACGTACTATGTTTTTCATCACACTTGCAAGGAAGTTGAAAAAAAGGAAAAATGTACTTAATAATGTTATAGTTTATTTATTACAAATTTATTTAAGTAGGTATCTCACAAATAAATCGTATGTAAAGAATATTACTTCCTTATCACTACAACTTTTTATGATCTTTTAAATTTAGATATCTATGTATGTTTATAAGTAAACATAAATTACAAAATTCTTTTTATTGTTTTTATATTCACACTAAGCAAGACCCAGGCTCTTGTCGCCGGTGTAGCCTCCCCCACTCTTTACGGTTCATAACCAAATCCTGGACCTCCCCTCATTCTTGATTTTCAAATTTATTTTTTTCAATATATGCTTTATTCTTGTTCTTCCTCTTATTTCCCTTCTCTAAGCTGTATTTATATTACTAGAAGTAGTATTTACATTACGTCTTATAAAATAAAAGAAAAAAGACGTTCACTTTAATTTAGCCAGAAAATATCTAGGCACTTATCGCCCTTGTGACACAATGTACTAAAAATATACAACACTAGTAAATTGTTGCACCTAAACGTGTTTACATGTATAGAATGACTTGGTGCTCCCTGTCGTGGCACCACGATGCCCGCTCAGTTGCGACAATGACATGATGAACAAGCTTGCGAAGTTAGCTGTCAAATATGACTGTCGTATGCAGGTAAGCTTTGTCTTAGGCTGAACTCACACCGGCGCAGAGTCAAAGCGACGCGTCATGTTTTTCGCCTATAGCATATTCATCTCTATTTTCCCATTATTAAGGCACAAATTTGTATTATGAAAATATGGAGTCGAGCGGCTTCGCGTATCGCCGCGCGTTACTTGAGCGCAGCGAGGCGTCAGGCGCCGACCACACTGTGATCCGGGCGCAGTAATGCGAGTGTCGCCAGGCATTGTAGTTGAAAAACAGGACGCGACGCGACGCTTCGACTCTGCGCCAGTGTGAGATGAGCCTTAGACTATTCACATGCACATTCACTTTCTTGTAGGAGTATTTATTTTGTAACAGTGGTGTTATTTTTCAATCTCGTTATTAATTGTTTCCGTGTAATTGCAGAGTCATATATCCGAAAGTAAAGATGATATAACACAGGTGCTTCAACTAAACCCGGGCTGCATGAACTATGCCGAAGTTTTCGATAAGTGCGATGTTCTCACCAAAAAGGTATAAATATATATATATCCATTGTTTAACGTAGATATATTAACAAAAATATTTAATACATTTCAATGACGGGGTTGATAAACAAAAAGTCATTCTTAAAACTTCTTCATTACAATTTAGTGACTGTGTACTCATTATAAGGTACAATGATTTTTTTTAAGAATTACGCATTGTTATGTTACGTTACGTTATTGTAGTAATATAATAGTAATCAGAATAGGAAAAGTGCCACTATACAATTAATCTGATTTAGGCTGAGATTTATAAAACGAACTTCGACTTCGAATATGCAAAAATAACGAGCTAAACTACAAAATGAATTTTGCCTTTTTTAAGCAAAAAATTACTTAATATAATTGCGTAATATTCTGCTTAAAATAAAACGATTTTTTGTAAATACAAAAACCTTGCTTAACTTGTCATCTTTGCGTAGTCGAAGTAAAAGTTCGTTTTAGAAATCTCAATCTCAGATGGTTGCATTTCGTAATTATAATGTTTTTTACTGTACAAAACCCCTTAGTAAGTATACAGAGTTATTTGTAAAATGTCGCAGGACAGTATTACTAAAATTATAAACAACAACTTACGGGTCGGTATCATAATGACTATGTATCTTCAAAATGACCTGATCAACACAACTCTTAGATCGCAAAACCATCACCTCTGCAGAAAGACTATATTAACAATTCATCAGATTTAATTTTAGTACAAAAATAAGAATATTTAAATAGATCTCTCTAAACAGTATTAACTCTATGCAGTGGCAAAAGAAATCACGCGAGAGGCGTGTTTTTTATGTGGCGTTGCTAAACAAATAAATTATTACCAAAAATACAGATCTAAAAATTGTCAGATAATACAACAAAAACTTACAAGTTTATTTTTGGTAAATCGATTACGTTTTGTAAAATGTTATGGAACAAGAGTTGTTGTTTCTGATGTTGGTAATATCGTCTACTTAAAGGTAAAACCACATAAGTGACTTTCACACTAAAAATCTCTAAATTATGTACCTGTTGTAAGAAAATCATCATTTTTCTGCAGATAAAACTCTTATTAAGTTTATAGCATTTTTGTTCTTAAGTTCACGTGCAGAAAGATAATGCTTCACTTACCATAGCTATATAAATTAAAGACTTTTTGTTTACAATGCCGCTTATATGACAACAACCTTCCTGGATCATATCGCTCATTTAGTGCAACATTGACTTAATTGCAATTTTGGCATAATTGAATTAAGACTTAATTAATTACATATTAACATCCTTTATCCAAATTTGCCAAAATTACAATTACATCAATGTAGCACCAAATAAGCGATATCGTCTGTTTAAAGGTAAAATATGGTCCAGAGATGTTGTTATTATTTTACACATAATCCTGTATTTTATTTTTATTACTTTCATTTTTTTAAATTACCCTTTGTATCCTAGGACAATATGAAGATACTGACAAGCTGACAGCTCCGCGTTCGTCAAATGCCAGGACTTTTAGGCGAGACTTAAGTTTAGGTAGACGAACGTTATTTTACACCTTCCGGGTCGGGTAGGTTATTAAAAGGTACAACGTTTATTTGAAGCATTTTCAAGTACTCTTAGCCTTGAATAGACTCACTTAGATGTCCATTTTAGATAATCAGTTGATCTTTCATTGCCTAATCAACTCCACTAAACTGTCATTTGTTTCAAATAATTAACCATAGTGTAACTAACTGGCTTTTGTCAAGTGCTATATACATATATGTATATAAAAAATAAATAGGTTGATTACTTAAACTTTTATTGAATTGATATTCAATTATTTTTATGTGAAATTACTCCACTAGTTGAAAAAATTACTTCGATCCGATTGGAGTCGAACCGACGTCTTCTAGCATACCGTGCCAGACGCTATACCAACTAAGCTACGGAACGAGCCAGCGGACCTCACGAATTTTTCTATGTGCTTGCGTCGTATCTTTGTATTTGGTTTTTTCAACTTTTTTTAGCCGTAGCGCCATCTTTGAGAAAACTATATTACGTCACTTAGTTAGATAAAAATTTAAATAAATTGAATGGCGACATCTCTAGCCGGGGCTGGTAGCTGTAAAGGTATATTAACTGGATAACGAAATATTATAAGTTACTCCTAAAACGGTAAACTTGTATTTTTGAGAGCATTAAATTCTTAAAAATGCACACGTACGCAAACACACTGGTGGTGAAACGTAATATAAGGTAAGTTACTTGAACCAACATTCACACTACACGGACATGGTTAATTAGAGGTAGAACCCCATTGACTTACAAATAAATGGACGACGGGTCTAATACAAAAACCACGACAAAAAGTCCCAAGTCAACCTATTTAAACGTAGTGATATGTAAAGGAATATGAAAAAGCTAAAACGTTGAATTTAAATTGTAATGTCATCGCAGTACTGTCTAATTTTGCTTGCTTCGCTGTCAGTCGAACAAACGAAGACTAAAGTGTGAATGACGCTCTGTATACGATTTTAACATCCTATAAGTTCGGACACTTTTTAGCGCGGACCCGACGTCCATATAATTGTAAGTCAATGTAGAAACCCATAACAGTAACACTCATACCCTTTCTCTTTTTTACTACGCTGGGTCCTAATCACGTATTAATCGTACCACAACTTTAGCTAATAAAAAAATGAATATCTTCCTCATAAAAATTTTATTACAAAGTTTGATGTGTTCTATTCTTGAATTTCAGGCACATGGGACTTGTCAACTTAGTCTCAGGGTGACGGGCGCAGAGGCAGTGCCCCTCAGATCTTTGCAATTTAAAAATGATTTTTATAAATGATCTGATTTATAAACTATCCAGTCCTTGTCTTCTCTATGCTGATGACTTGAAAATATATCGCATAATAAGTGAGTCGTCTGACTGCTGTGAACTACAGGGTGATATTGACACAGTTTATGAATGGTGCCAACAAAACAGTATGCACCTCAATGCTAAAAAATGTTTTGTTATAAGTTTTACTAATAAGCGTTCTAAGCGTGTGTATGACTATCGACTTAATGAACAATTATTAGATAGAAAAACTGTAGCTAAGGACCTCGGTGTGTTATTTAACAGTACCTAAATTAACGTTTCGTGAACATTATGCATACATTAAGAGGAAAGCACTTCAATTGCTGGGCTTCATAACAAGATGCACCAAGGATTTCAAACGGGCTCAAAGTTATCTGACAGTCTATTACAGCCTTGTCCGTAGTATTTTAGAGTATGCTTGTGTCATTTGGTCTCCCTGCTACTCAGTCCACTCGAATAGTGTAGAAAACGTTCAGAGAAAATCACTTCGGATACTTAGTTACAAATGTGGTTATGGCCGCAGCCTCGTTGGCTATAGTGAGAGACTTGACGAATTTAAAGTGACCTCCTTAAGTGTTCGCCGTAAGAAACAGGATCTCACTTACTTGCACAAGGTTCTTCACGGTGAGATTGATTCTCCTTACCTCTTAAATAAAATAGCTCTCTCTACAAGGCGCAACCCCCGAATACCCAACAAGACGTTTTACTTGCGGGCATACAGAAATAATACTTCGTTTTACAACCCCCTTGTAAGAATGTGTCGGCTTTACAACGAAATATCTATGAAAAACATCGATTTGGACATTTTTAATCCAAGATCCAGAGTGTTTAGACGAGTAGTAAAGCAGCTTGTACTTGTATAGATTTTCACCCATTCCCTTGTCGCTTTAGTATTAAGTAAATAAGTGAATTAACAACAAATTTAACAGTAGTTCTTTCTTGTTACTATAGATTGATGTGTCAACATAAGTAGGGTTACAATCTAGTACTGAACTTTGTTATATCATATTTAATTTGTATCAATGTAATTTGATTGTTATCTGTTTTGTTGTCCATATAATAAATAAATAAATAAACTCTGAGTGGCACTGTAATTGTTATGGACAGGCGTGTAGTACCATCAGGCGCATGACTTGTTCGTCCCGTCACTTGGTATTATAAAAAAAAATGAGGCTTTCAGCGCAGTAACCCCATGAAATGCATACATATACGAGATGATAATGAGAGATTTAAAATTAGTCAAACTCATTTTATATTAGAGCATAGTTTGCAAAAGTGGTCCCTGCCGCCCGCCAGTGGGCACTGCAGAGTCCTAGGACAGTCCTATTAGGGGTAGGGGCCTCGGAAGCAATTAGGGGGCGTTGATGCTGCCCACTAGGTGTTCCCGCATTTGAAAAAAAAAACCTCAATTATGTACATAAACTACACTACATATATACGAGAGACGGCTGATAAGTTTTGAGCCTAGGGTATTAAAAATGCCAATAGAAATGTGTAAAAAAAATATTTTTCTATATAATCTCCCTCTACTTCAATGCACTTCTTACATTTGCCATAAAGGGCTTTTAACCCAGTGAAAAAGTCTTTGCCTTCGAAATGTTCGTCTACAGCCGTTTTCATTTCACCATCACTCGAAAATCTTCGCCCTTAGCAGTCCTTTTTCAAATTGAAGAATAGGAAATAGTCGCTGGGGGCCAGGTCTGGACTGTCGGCTACGGAGGCAGTTAATAGAGTCACAGATAGAGCGCCAATGTAGGTCAATGGCGCCAATGGTAAGATTTTGTACACTTGGTTTCTGCTAAAAGTTAAGAGAAGTTTTTCAGTGGCTAGCCATCGAGCTACTATTCAACTGCCATTGCAATTTTTTTTGTATTCTTCTCTTCAATAGCACAGAAAACTCGACTACATGAATTTGTTGACGACTTGCCGGTTTCGTGAAGTCATTATCCGTGGCCTCAACTGCATGAAGTTGATAACAACTTCACGTCAATTAATGCGAAACCGAGTTCACGCAATGCGTGAATTCGTAATCAACTTCATGCAGTCGTGATCTCGGCTGCATGAAGTTGTTTACGATTTCACGTATTAACTGCAAACATGCAGTCAATATATTAGCAGCCGTCGCAATCAGATTGTCATTGCATTTCCGTCGATGACTACATTAAGTCCGCTCTACTTTTTTCGACAACGGTCAATACACCTTTGTCTAGTGCAGCGAACGACTAGGCGAGCCGGGTACGGTTCATGCAAAGAGCGTTTTCGGTGCGTTTTTATATTAGGCTTCTCCTTGCATACTCGTAAATAACGATAATCTACCTCTACTTTTAATAACAATAAATCTTTGTCGATGGAGGTGTTAAACGTACGTTGCAGTGTATCCTGGCGCACGGTGTGCACCTGACGGGGCACGAGATCGATCTGCTGAAGATGCGCGACGTAGGACTCGTCCACTGCCCCGCGTCCAACACCCGTTTACGCTCCGGCATCTGCCCCGTGCGCAAGCTGCTGAACCACGGCCTTAAAATTGCACTTGGCACAGGTAAGCAAGTTATACTTTAAGCATGTAAGTGATGATCCTGTTGTGTAAGCGTAAATAAATATATCTAACTATTTTTCTCATAAAATTCAAATAATAAAAAAAATTCAATAACGTTATATTGTGACTATATTACCACACATTTATTTAAAACAAAAAGTATATAGTTTCATCTCGACATAATTCAAAAAGATGCGAATTTCTCAAACATAAGTAGGTGCTGTATTTTTCACGTTCCTATCCACATACTGGTCTGTATTCAACCTTTTTTTAGGTCTGTATCCACATACTGGTGTGTGAAACCTGTGATATTTAAATATCTCCACCTCTCCTCTCTTTTAACATCCCCAGGTCCACACTTAACCTATAACTTACTTTATCACTCAAACTCCAGATGTGGCCGGGGGTGACAGTACGTCTATGCTAGACGCTATCCGCCGCACTATAGATGTCTCCACGCACTTGGAGCTACTGGACGGACAGTACAGTGCTATCAATTGGAAGGAGGCGTTCTATCTTAGCACACTCGGAGGAGCAAAAGGTGGGGCCTTAACAAATAAGTCTATATAACGAATATTCCCATTTTAATCGGATAATAGTTTTTTCTCTTGCTTGAATCTATAAATATTAATCTAATAAAACATATTTTCAGTCTTGAATTTAGACGATAAAATTGGGAGCCTGGAAGTGGGAAAGGAGTTTGACGCCCTGCTAATCGACGTATATGCACCAGGAAGTCCCATCGACGAATGCAATAAGCATTTCGTAGGATATGTTAAAGATCACGAGCGGCTGGTCCAGCTATTTCTTTCATCGGGGGACTACCGCAACATCTCGAAGGTGTTCGTCAAAGGGCGCCTCATAAAGGATGAGGGTGCCCTTGTCTTGTAAGCTTGTCAAATGACAAGATTAGTCATTATATATCATAAATTAAGCCAAACTCACATTTATAACATTAGTATTATTAATAACATTTATTAGTATTATTTATAACATTAGTATTAGTTTCATCTATTTATTTAACTATTACGTAGGCTTCGTCAGGAAGACACAAATATAAATCAGCAACAGGCTTCGTCACAAAGAAATTCAATTCGCTAGACTTAGTCATTTCTATTTAACTATAAGAATGAATCAGGACCGCTCTGAATCTTAGCTGGCTTATAACACTGGCAGCATTACCGCGCTGAATAGCCAACGAAATTTGTTGCACCAAGTAAGATGCAGAGCGTGGATCATAGCATCTTTCTCTAAGCCGACGACCCAACTCCCTGATGAATTCTTTGGCCTCCGCACCCCAAGTCCCCGCAGTCTCCACTGCAATTGGCACAAAATCGTACATCAGCTCCAAGGCACTGTACTTGGCATGTTTCAATTTTGCTGCATACGCTGCAGCTGACCCGATCTGGTGGTTTGATTCAGGAGGGACGGTGCAAACGTACTGACACACAAAGCACCGGCCCTTCTGCCACGGAACCAGTGTAAGGCCGTCAGGTCTCTTGCCATCTGTACGGCGCAGCCCCGGAGGCTCCAGACACAGGGCAAACAAAAAAAAGCATATAAACGACTTCAATTATTTCTTTCTTCAATTTAATTATTAATCGACTTCAATTATACTCAATTAAATCAAATCAATACTTAAACGACTACTCATAATACAACCACTAGTTTAATTTATTGTTATTAGTAATTATAATCAATAAACTCGTCTATAATAATTAATAATACATATATTGGTGATGGTACTTCGGTGGAAGAACAGCAACATCTCTTCCATCGCTTAATTTCGAATATTTAATATTATAATACATACTTTCACGTGGCAACATAATGTTGTACCTATGATTAATATTTAATACTTTTGTTAATGTTTAATAGTAATACCTCTAGCTAGTGACCGTCAGGATGGCTGGTCGCCTGTGGTGTCTGGCACTGAGTGTATATTCAAGAATTGCTACCTGTTTGCCACCTTTCTAAATAATTGCTACCTTTGATACATTCTGAGAAATTTAAAAAAATAATTGACCAGCCCTTCTGATATCAGGATGGCTAGTCGTCACTTTGTTCAGCATGAAGAGAGCAGATTATTCCAGAAGTAGACACTTCCTACCTACATTAATTTAAAAAATACAAACGATTGAAAATTTAACGAAGAGTGCCAACGTCTGCCCTGTATGTTATGGCAACAGAGCACTAAAAACTTTTGCTTTTTTTAATTTAATCAGGTACTTCGCAAATGGTGAAGGAACATCATGATAATAATCTCAGTACAGAAAAAAAAACCGACCCCGAAAGTACATGGAATTACATCTATTTCCCAAGTTTTATTGAAATCGGTTAACGGAAAATGTGCAAACCCAGATTCATCTCCTAGTTCCACTACTATACGGAAGTTGACTCAGGAGATAGTAAAAATCAATTCTCACTACTCAAAGTATATTATAGAGAATAAGTATATACATAGAGAGAAAAACGCCTTGAATTGGAGAATAGAAAAATCAACTATTAAAATAATTTAATTGCTGCTTATAATAAAATTTAGGTGCTATTTATAAAAATGAATCTTCATGCGTGAACAGCCACTCTTAGAGGTGGATGATTTTCTTCAAAATTAAATAGGACCTTTGAGGTACCCTCTTTCCACCAAAAAAAGAATCATCAAAACCGGTTTACCAATGGCGGAGTTATCGCGTAACATACATACAAAAAAAACATAGTCGAATTGAGAACCTCCTCCTTTTTTGAAGTCGGTTAAAAATATATGGCGTAGAATTAAGTAAGTAGTAAGACGATTCCCGCGCACCTTATTATTTTATAATTAAAATTGACATATTGTTTGTCTATAACTAAGAATTTTCTAGATTATACGAGTAATTTTTGGGTTCATTGTTTGTACCTAACTACTGTGGCAATTTTTATTGTTTAAATATATTGCAATATTATCTTGAAGCATTATTTTATATTCGAGTGTAATAATACAAAGAAATATTAATTAATATTTCACAATAATATACTCAGGTACATCAATAGTAAACATTTCCACCGAAATTAGAGAAAAAGCGTAACCTGAAAATTATCCATACTTTGTCACGTTGTGCTGTTTTTGTGTAACGTATGTTCAAGTACGACGAATAGTTATAGAAATACGTCGTAGCGTATTTGTGTAGCACTTAGTACAAATAGTGGATACCTAAGCGAGGGCACAGACTGTACCTACAGTCCTTGATCTAAACCATCTTGTATGGATTATAATACTCGTAACAATTATTTTAGGATAAAAATAACAACTTTAGTGTTGATGACTTGGTGTAACCAATTATTTATTTTAAGTACGAAAATAAAGTTTTCGGCCAAGTTGTTCTTTTATTTCACTAATATGCGTTGCGAAATTATTTAATGTATTGGAATATAACTTTATTATAACTGCAAAATTTAATTATTCTTGCACTATGCGCTGTTCCGCTAACGGATTTCGACAAATGTGATTGAGAAAAATAATCGCAAGGCGAAATGAACTAACATATTAATTTATTGAAACCACCATATTAAAGTTTAATAATATACTTTTATTATAGTGAACATTTTACAATTTGTGTAGAAATATGCAAATATAATGTGACCAAAATTATTGTTAAGCGAATACCGTAATATAATACTACGGGAACCAATGTTACAATTAATTCCGACATCAAGTGACCATTAGAAATTGACAACAAGTATATGAATAACCGTTAACGCTTGTTAAAATCGAATTATATAAACAAACATTGATTATTATTTGCCCCAGTAACTCAGCCATACCAAATAAAATTTGGAAACCATAAAGTTTTTGTTAAAGCTTTGAGATCTACTTAACATTTTATGACGGTCAATAATACTAAAATGCAACTGGTGTGTTAAATACTCAAGTCGGTGGAATGATGAGACGTTAATGCAATCGAACGTCGACAATAAATACAATAACGTAAGAGCAGTCTTATAAATTAAATAAGTGCTATATCTAAAAGTTAGCGAATTACATTTATTGTACAAAAAGTTATAATCGTAGTCAATATTCAAAAAGTTAATATTGAAAAAATAGGACGCACTTGAATAGACAATAAATACAATATACCCTAGGAGTTAGTAAAATTTACAAAAAAATATTTGCTGCCATTGTAATCACGGGGAGTGATGGCGACGGCAACAAGTCTCGATCTCAAAACCTGCTAAACGTTTAAATATTGTTAATATAGTACTACTGTATATACATTACATATATATATATATATACGTGTATATATATATATAATATATATATTATAATATATTAGTTTAATCTACGCTAACAATGAACACAGGAACTTGGACGAGCAAATCCATTAAGTGCAAGCCAGATATGGCGGCACACATTTTTGAAACCGACAAACTTAGGCTCCGGCGTTAGTTGTGTTGATTGGCGAGTGGCAGCGGCGTACACAACCTATTGAAAATTACCAAACCGGTTTGAACCTCCTTCATGTTTCTTCTCGGTGTCATGAAGACTTTGAAAACGTATCACAAAACTTTTAAACAATGTTTCAACAGTTTTCACCTCTACCTACCTACCTGCCCGAACATTTCCGATGAAGCTTATATAATATCAAATGCTAAGTAAGTTTTAGATAAATGCATCATAATCATAACAGAGGCCGCCTACAACCGCAGAAAGCTACAGAACATGCTAAATAAAATAATTTTGAGCTGCCATTTTTCCACACACATTAAATGGTTTATTACCTAACAAATTCCTAATACGGTTTAATTCGACAGCTGGTTCACGTACTGGCAATTAGCGTGTCCTAGTATTTTTGTAAATATTAATAAGCTCTTACTTTTCAAATAAAAAGATATCACGCACAAATGGGACACAGATTGATTGTATACAATTTTGTGTATTTGGATTATATAGATACATATGCGCACGACAGCAGTAGTGAGATTATAACACGTAATATAATACATAATGGCTATTCTGAACTTTTACTACTACTTCTATTACATTATCCAATACATATGCCTTTGACTTGCATTGAATTTACTAACCTATAACAGTCTTAATCATATGATATTACATCAATTATTATTATATTACATAAATAGAAGTTATGTGCGGTATTCGAGAACAACACCGTCGCACAAATTGCGAAATGTGCATACACGGGCTAGGCGAAATGTTGAAATTTCACTCCATAAGTGTCGGCCATTTTGAATAAATTAATATTATTCAGTTTTTACGCGAATTATACATTTTTATTTCTTACCTTCACGTGTGTTGGGTGTTTCATAAAGTGCCGTAACACTTTCAATCGCACCTATACTCCTGACTATGGGAGAACCATAGATTCAACAAGAAGAAGATAACACAACCGCAATGAGAGCGGCTGGAGCAGTGGACAATGGGACAAATTTTCAGGTAAATGTGGATCTAATGCAATTCCTTACCTATGTGATAAAATAGCCCTTTTTGTAATAATTCGTGTACATTGAACTTCTAAGCTCCGCCGCCTCCAGGCGCAGCGAAGAACTATTTACAATAACTACCAAAAACAGTTATTTTATTAAATCATTTTCCAAAAGTAACGTCTTACGCTATTGAGTGTTTAATCTACGATATACAAAACAATGTTAGACGAAAACATAGATTTAGAATTCAGCTTAATAATTTTGTTCCATAAACTAGCACCTAACTATATATTATTATCAAAATCGAATTATGTGTAGTTACAGACTCTGTTAACATTTAAATTCGACAACTGCATTACGCAATTTGTACTACTCTATAATAGACAACAATTGATTGCGATCCCTAAATATGTATTGCTAGAACTATTCAGATATAAATACACAGATAATAAATACAGAAGTACCCCTAATACAGTGTCATCATATGAGGAGTACTTCGTAAATACATGATAAACTAGACTTACCAAATGACTGCTCAATTCCTAAGAACAAAAAATATGGATTCAAGATAATAATAAAAAATTATGACCATTTTAAGGTAACACCCGTGTCTACTAAAATATTTGATATTACCAACGGATAATTCTCAGGTTAGTTTTCTCTACCTAATTTCGATGGCAATTTATATTATTTAATTAATCCACAATATTATCATGAAGTATTATTTAATATTCGGGTGTAATATCCTGAAATATTATTTAATATTTCATAGTAATATACTCGAATACTTAAATAATAAAACTTACCACCGAAATTAGGTAGAGAAAACTAACCTGAAAATACAGGCTTATACTACCGTACTTGTAATACAATTCTAAAGTAACAACGTCGAAGATCAAATTGTTTTTCATAATTTATGAGACGCACCCCAGTTGGTGAACAATGGGATTTAAAATTGACATGAATCTTGATAAATTTGGTCAATTTGTAAAATAATTATAGCCTGTCTCGAAAGAATGTCACAATAATCCAAAACATTACAGTATATTTCTACATACGACGTACCACACAGTCACTTCACTAATATATAAATACTTATTACTGATACGAAATACAATAGTCCGTAAATTAACTAACTGCAGTTGCATAGAAAATATTAAATTATTTATAGAATATAAAAAATCAGTAAACATAACGGTGCCTGTAATATTATATATAGCATTTGTCATTACAAACTGTATCAAAAACAACATTACTACGTAAACGTCAGTCTTTCTTTCTGGCCAATGTCAGATCTATTAAATTTAGAATAATTAATTTAGTTTATTTTTCTACGAAGTCCTTTGAATATTCTGGCGCAATAGAAGCATACGAATGGAACGTAAATACTACCTAAGTGCTGAGGTAGAGTAAAATGCAATATTAACATCAAAAATTAGAAGATCCCTGGAAGCGTTAAGACAAAACAATTATTATACTCTCGCAAACGGTAAAACATAAGGTTTTATAGTATTATAGTTAAGTGCTATAAACGTATTTACAAATTAGCTAAATTATATTAGAAATTATTTACAGGAATGTTTTCTTTCCCCGCACTGTTAATAAATAGTGTATTAACTCAAAAAGTGTATTTTCTCAGAATCGACGAGAAACAAATTACGCGCTTCCCGAGAAAGATCTGTATAAATTTATGTATAGGTTATTTTCTACTTGCCAAATATAGATACTTAAAAATAAAAGTTTTTTTGGTTATAACATTCATCATCATCATATACAGCCTGACCTCACCCACTGTTTATTTTATAACATTATAAAGTATAAATCATATTTTTACAAAACTTCCGCCCATAGTCATTTTTACTTGACACTGGAGACTTCATTGTTTAACTCGATGGAACCATAGCATTTAAAAAAAGAAAAGAGAAAAGTAATTTCGTATTTTTGAATAAGGACTATTTTGGCCAAAACTAGCACACATAACATTAACCGCCTCAGTGGCCGAACGGTTACTATGCTGGACTGCCACGCCGAGGTCCCAGGTTCGATTCCCGGGCCGGTAGAAATATTTTTGTAGCCTGCATTTATTTCCCTCGTGAATTTGGGTGTAATTTGTGGTTGTCTATGTGTGTGTCCATGGTACCCGCGACACAGGGTCTCCCAAGCGCGAGGCTATGTTGAGTGTATGCGTTATAAAAAAAAAGAGCGTGTGTCATTAGATATCTTTTAGTTGTTTTTTACGATATTCTAACGACGATTTTATTGACGTGTAGAGAATCACGTTCAACAATGGAATAATCTTGAATTTCAAATATTTTGAGTTATAACACTATTGTAATAGCAGCGCGATATATAGACCATGTGTCACAAACACAACCAATGAAATGCAAATAATTTGTTCTTAGGCATGACATTAAAATGTTGTATACAGTAAGAGCACTAGAACAGGACGTCTACTCCCTTTCTACGTCCAACATCCATCTGTATCAATTACTATAAAATTACTCGAGCAAATCAAAAATGCTCGAGTATTAATTCTTTTATAGTAATTGTTTCAGACGGATGTTGGACGGAGAAAGGGAATAGATCCCCTGGACCATTCATAAAGTGTGGACCAATCGTCCGTAATCAATCGAAATCTTATTTAAAAGAGAAAACCAAAACAAAACTTCATAGAGAGCATTAAGGAAAATTTTCAGTTCTCAAAACATTCAACCAATTGTTTTAATTTATTCTACACATGTGTAATTGCGATTGAATCTTACCAATATTCTTGACCATAATGTGTCAAAATTGTTTTAATCGTACTTTTAAAGGGTTGTATAATAATTCCCAATTCTCAAACATTATAATTTTACAAAAAAAACCTTCGCACAATAACAGACCACTAACAATGCAGTTTGACGAATTCGCTGAACTCAATCGTTGGAATTTTCGAAACGCAACAGAATTGTAACAAACAATCGAATCACCAAATTTTTATATCATGTATTATAATAGGCCTCGACTCGATAAAAGTTGAATTAAAAATGTTGTTTTCCTATAATGCAAGAAAGCCGCGGTGCCTCGACAGGTATGCAATTAACACATTCTATGTCACGGCTTCGTTGACTCATTGATACTTTAATACTCATAATTTATAATCCTAATCGTAAACATCCGCTGAAGTTACAAACACGTTACGCGTGATGTTATATCTTCTAAAAGAATTTACTTATCTAACAGACACGTTAAATCAGCCATTTTAGTAAGAGCGTGTTTGGCCATGCAAGTCCATAGTTAGGTACATTCTTACATACAGTATTTTATTCACTGCAAAATAAGTTATAAAATAAATTATATGTCACTATTCTTCTATTATATATAATGTATTAGCAAATGATATGGCCTGAATGCACAAACGAGCTTCAACGCGAGTAAACTTAAACATGCGAAAGCACGATACAAGTTATAATATAATGTGACACTGATATAATGAAATTATTCTATTCTATGCACGATTTGTGAAAAATTGCCCTACGAATAGTGCTAATTAATTATTACGATAATCGGTTATATATTCCGTAAAACTGATCAAGTTTAGTCGCGGTGAAGGCATCTCGAACGCTCGATGGTTTACACCATTTACATGGGTATAAAAAAACTAATCGCGTTTATGACAGTCTGTGAACAAATTTTTAAGCCACGACGTGTTCAGACACTTACATAATTTTAAAACATTCTTTGGATAATTATTGGACACGTAGTGTTTGTCCCAGTCTTGCGGAGTTGGCTGTGTGTGACCAGAGATGGGCAAGCGGCCGAATTTTAACCCTGCGCTTTTAATTTTTAGGGGTTTAACGCCGGAAATAGCGGGCAAAAACTATTTACAACTAAATATTTGTATTCGAGTTTTTGTTCAAATGTAATAACGACATTATAGACATAATGCTGCCTTTCTATTGATTGAATCGATTCGCTTGAAAATCGTATTGCATCGCAGAAATGAATCGATACAAAAATTTATGCACTTTAATCAATTGTCATCAAAATCGAATCGTAGTAGTATAATCGTAGTGCATCCCTAGTTGTAAGTGAGAGTTCACAGTATGGAAAGGTGGGTATTGTGTGGAGTTCGCTATTTCACATTGAAATTCTAAATAAATATATTAGAATTATATCGACTTCCGTATTATTTTACACCTATAACAGCTTCCGCCCAAGATTTTGGGTAGAACTGGTAAAAACCCGGGCGGGTTTCAACCCACTGCCCATCTCTGGCTGTGGCGTCACACTATGTCCTCGCGAGCAAACGGGAACGTTCAGAGACTACATAATTCCGATGGTCGGAGACCGGGCAGAGGTGGTCACAATACTAATATCTTCTTATTATTAGACCGATCGTTGCCATAACTGAGGAAAGTGACCTGACTGATGCGGTTGTAGGATCGGTTCTAGGCGGTCATAGACTTCAATTAATATTTGTATCAACGCTGTTGATGGTCGCGCGGAGACGGCGGCTGGTGCTCATTCGTTGAGATTTGGCGCGTCGGGTAGCATTCCGCCGGCGGGGTCTGGGTGCGAGCAGGTGCACTCCTGCGACTCACCCTGTCAGGCGGTCACTTTACGAGACTGGACAGTGATCGGGATCTCAGTGTCGGAGTGCGCGATGTTGCGACACGCGGCACAGCCGCCGCACATCCGAGAGCGCCGAGACCGACGCCGCGAGCTGCGACGTTCCCCGCCTAAGACACAAATGTTCACTCATCATCAATGCTTCAATCGCACCCTCAGTCGCGACACCCCCTCATTAGATACGACGCACTTTGAATCCTGACAGCATATACCTCAGCATTCAAATACCTGTCTTGATCCGAATAGGGAGGTGCGCGGTCACTATAGCAAACATAACGATGCAAATATGGTATGAGTGCAAACAATGCTATGCGAAAAAACAAAATCTGAGTTTATTTGCTGGAAAGCCATGACAAAAATTTAATTATAGTTAACTGCCGTAGCTGCCGTTTGATAGCGGCGCACAAATGAATGACCACCAGAGGCGGCACTTTAATCTGTTGCAACATTTTCTTGTGACAAATCTTATTTCATTTTGTCCCCTTCTTACACATAGGTCGAGAGAAAAAAACCAGAATCTGCAAGTCGTTTGATTAAACGCGAATGTTACATATAAACCTCGCGTTATCTTGTATATTACACGTCTATGACATGGTACGGATGACGTACAAAACAATTTTTCCAACATTTTGACCAAATCAATATATTTTAATTAAAGAACAATGTAGGCACTTCTTGTACCAGAGAGGCAACAGTAATAGATGTACCATGACCAAAATTAACGTACAGAAAAATAGTTACGCTACCTTTTCCATTAGAGAAAAGCTGTAGAAAAAACATCCTTAACGTTTGAGCGAGACACACTGATCGACGGCGATTGTTAGATATTAAAAATTAAACTATTTCTTCTTATATAAATCGTTTATAATTTTGTTAAACAAACCAACGTTTCAGGCTTTTTACAGGTCCCATAGTCGCGGCTGAGACTCATCTCAATGGCATTAGCATGTATAATAAGTATGGTATATCTATGTATATATTCATAAAAAAGTAGCAGTAAGGTTTTTATGTGTGCGCGCTCGCCATGTACTGATGTACACACACGTATAATTTCGCGACGCACTCACGTTGCATAGTACTCGTCGTCTCACGCGCCTTTCGTTACTATGCTAATGTGTGTGTCCGCGCTCACATATAGGTTAGCCGCACTGCTACGTATGAATGAGTGTACTACTCACAACAAAATAAGGGTCACTAGAATTTAATCGATTTATTAAATGACATCCAAATATTTCCATTGACACTGAGTGAAATTAATAAAAATTGTAAATTTTAGATAGTATTAAACAAAAATAGTGTTTAATTGCAATAATTTATTAAAAAAAAACAAGATTAAATGAAAAATGAGAAATTATAGGAATATTTGTAGTTTAATAAAACATGAAAAATTTGGACAAAATAACATTTTCAAAGTTTCTAGGCTTGTTGTTTAATATCGTATGTGGCCTCCTCTTTTAACTACGCATAACGAATAAGGGTATTCGAAAAGGCATGCTCTGGATTAAACGCCGTATATTTTCTTCTGGAATCCACTCCCAGCACGTTTTCAGAGCATTTATGAGATCCTGTTGTATGTTGATAGGAATGTCACTTTCTCTGACACTTTTCTTTAACTGACCCACAAATACTCAACAGGACTAATGTCTGAATTCCTGACTGACCACTGTAACATCTCGATTCCAGCGATAGCTAATGTGTGCATTGTTAATCGCGCCGTATGCGTTCGAGCATTATCTTGCATCAAGATGACCCTGGTCATGCATGCTGTGCGAATGGAATAATGTGGGATCGTACCATATTCTCAACATAACTTTAAGCCGACACGGTACTCTCGCTAAGAATTACGGGCTCAGTTTTGCGTCTTAGCGTTATACCGCCCAGACCATCTAAAATCCGTTTTCCAGATCTCCACTGCGTCGAACGTCATTCGAAAATTTAATCTTAAACTCATCGGTAAAAATCACTGCAGCCCAGTTTTGAATAGTCCAATCCATGCAAACCTTAAACAATTTGCACAATACGCTGCAGTTAACTGGAGGCGAACCAAGAGTCTTCTTGAATATTACTGGTCTTCATGGAGTCGATTCTGGATGGTCTGGTCGCTCACACGAGTGCCTATAGATCGAGGTAAGGCGGTTTGTATGGTCCGTGCGGTGGATGTCCGCTCTCTTCGTGGTGTTAATTTGCCGGTCTTCTTGAGCTATAATAACCCGTACTCTTCCTCGAGCTAGGACGTCTGGTGATATTACTCGTCTCCTGGTACCGGTTCCAAATATTTTGAACAGCTCGTCGCGGATATCATTAAACCTACAGCGCGCTGACTGTAACCCTCTTGGAGCAAGGTGACAACCCTAGTGGCTGTATTTGCGTTCATGTGTCTCCGAATACGGGGCATTACGCGATTTAAAAAGCGTTATAAACTGCTTGCACTATAAGTTGAAGAAACACTCTTAAAAGTTAAAAAATTAAACAACGTTAAAAGCGTACATTTCAAGTACCTTCAAGAATCCCGATAAAAAAGTTATGGGTACCCACTTGATACCATTTGTCACTATAAATGTTACTGACATTTGACAAATACCCATAATGTAACATTTACAGATTGTTATAAATACGAAACATAAATAATGCTAGTTTATAGTGCACCTTAACGAGTGGCCCTTAATTTGTTTTGATAGTAGTAGTAATTGTGTCGCTTACCATATAATTATTTTTGTTGCGTTTAGTTTTCCCGTTTTGCAATGACATAAAACACTATCCGTGAAGTGCGAAGTTGTTTATATATTTTTTTTTATTAATTATTTCCTAAACTAAATGTCGATAGCTTCGAATGCCAACAAAAAATGAGAGAGAAAGGGAAAGTAAAAATCCTGAGAACAGTTCCACTGATTTTCAGGAAATTTAGCTAAGAACCTTTTAACAACAGAAACCCGACAATTCGGTTTTTCTGTTAGCACGGAAGCTTTTAATTCCTCTTTTTCGATCGGGGCTAAAAGTACAATTTTCAATCGAATTTATGCCGTAAAAAGCCCTCTCGCTGCGTTTGTGTTATAAAATATAATAGGCTGCCATGTGGAGTAATAAGATGCAGGCTTTCGCATCCATGGGACACGTTTCGTCGGCCAACATGCGAAAGTGCGTCAATTAGTGTGTCTTGTCTACTAATTCTAAATCCCTTAACAACATAGTCATGATTCGTTTCATAACAAATGCTAAGCAGTTGACTAAATATCTACACTATAATTTTCGTTTCGATCTACGTTTTCTACAAAATGGGGAAGTATGATTAAAGAATCGAGTTAATTACGTACTACTGTTGTTATTTATGAGTTAAGTCATATCCAAGAAAAGAATAAATAAATAACATAACGTACATTGACCGTACGTAGCACTTAACGTATAGATAGAGATCGTGAAGCGCAAACATCCATCCAACGACAAGACATGCGAATGTGGTCGTGCGATGAGGTAGAATAATCGATGTGACATGCGGCCCCGAAGCGGCAAGCGAGCCCCATTAGCGTCATACCGTGATGTAAGTAAAAGCGTCAAAAATTTTGCTCTCCCGTCTCTGCGTACGGAATTTTAAAAAACAACTGAATCCGAATGCAATTCTTTGTCGTCGAAGAATGCCGTCCGCGGCCTTAAGGAGAACAAAATCTTCGAGTGTCTGCGTGTTAGTCCTCCGCACCAAAGCGAACGAACACAGTGACACAGTACCGGTGCGCGAGGATTCAAAACAAAAACTCTAGGCAGGCGACAAGCACGTAGAGAGCAGTGCTCTCTTGGCGCACTTCGCCCGCGCAGTTGGCACGGGGTGGGGGGCAAGATGGCGGCACGAGGTAAGATGGCGGCGAAGGACATGATGGCGGCGTACCGGCGCGGGGGCGCGTCGTCTCCAGCGAAGGCGCCGGCTGCAGGAACCACTCGGAGCGCGCGCGCATCCGCGAGCGCTGCCGCTCGTGCACCTACGCACCAGCCCACCATCACGTCAACGGCACCACGGCCACTGGGCTTTTCCGCGGCTAATACTATTCGCACGAACGTCGTACTAATACCTCTCCGAAGAAGTCGTCTCAATCGAAATAGATCGAGCGATGGCTTTCGCACGAATGTACTAGCCGTGTGTTCCGAAACCACACAGGATTCAACAGTTTTATGCACTACAGGGTGTGGAAACTGTTTCGATTGTATTGTTTATTATATTTGAGTACCCACCCTTATTTGTTCGTAAATGTTATTTGATGAAAACTCGTTAGATGTTGTTAACATGAAACAAGAATGTTAGTCTCATTAGTATTAGTAATCCAGCTACTGCGGTTAGACAACAAAATAGGGAAACGCATTAAGTAGGACATACACGGACTGGGGCACTTTTAGTGCGTTTTGTAATATAAACGTTGATAGGTAAAGTTGACCGTGTGTGTTTGCATAAACAAACTAATAAAGTAGAACCAAATATAAAACCGTCTACATAACAAGAGTGGGAACAACAAGAAGCGTTGGCTGGGGTTGGAACGAACGGAGGTGCGTCGAGTGCACTGCTAAGCTCGTGTCAAAAACCACACAAGCATTTGGTGTTTGTTTTAATGGTATATTTAAAAACCTCATCACAGTGCGCAGTGTCCCGACGGGATTACTCAAACTTCAGTACAAAATAACTAACAACTATAAGAACAGCTAATCGTTCCTACTCGACTCTTCCAAGAGGGACAGAACGTCATGCAATTCAGAAAAGGACATGCAACTCACTGGTAACTATCCATTTGTCATTTAAATTAAAAGCCCTTTTCCTTGCCACGCCGATTTCGCTCTTATGACATTTTTATTGTGACTTATGATACGTGCGCTGACTCCCTATTTCAAGTGACAATCAAACAATAGATTCATTGCTCATCCTGAGTAATAATGACACATACAAATTTTGATCCCATTCTAGATAGACAAACTAATGAAACTCGACATTTGTAGACAAGCTCTAGGATTAATAATATCATACTTGGGCAATTTCCTTTTAAATTGGGTTTAATTTACATTGCAGTGAAACATCATGGGAAGCGATTTTTTTTAAGTACAGCATGGTGAACTTTCAATAGTATAACGAAACAAATTATGCACAAACAAAAAACAGGTCGTGCGCCTTCCGAACGACTATCGCTCTGTCTAGGGAATTCCGTCACCGTTTTTTTTATATAATACTAAGTGACGGGACGAACATATCGTGTGCCTGGTGGTTAACGACACGCCTGTCCTTAACAGTTGCAATGCCACTCAGAGTTTTAAACCACAAAGCTCTGAGTAGTACTGCCACTGCGCCCAATACCATGAAACATAAGTTGACAAGTCCCATGTGCCTGTAATTTGACCAGCACCTCTACCCTTCGCTACCGGAACGCAGTAATGCTCACATTACTGCTTCGCGGCAGAAATAGGTAAGGTGACAGTACTTCCCTGAACGAATAATTGCACAAGGAGCTGTACTGGTACTAAAATATCCTAGTTTGTACGTTCCACAAGTTCATCATGCTCAGTACATTTTCGTTACAAAAATTTAAAATTAACGTAAATTGAGCCTTATCGATAGTTTGAAAACAACATGAATAATCTCATTAATTTTGGAATAAAAAGAGTCCAAGTTAATTTTAAATTTTCATGAATATAATAATTAAGCAAGCTATTGGACCGGGCAAATATAAATACTTTTTTATATTGCTCAATGTCATTGTGTTTCTTTTTTTTCAATAGTTCGCTGTTTTTTCTGTATAGACGGTTTTTCTTAAAATATAATCTTAAATTACTAAATCATTCCCCTTACTCCTCAACATACATAATGCGGGAGGAAGATTGCGAGGCCCACACCGTTCTAAAAACTGCACTCATCGTCATCATCTACATTCTTCCATGGTTGGATATAGGTGTAGTGTGTGCCATCCATAATGATCTTGGGCCCTAAGAGTCGTATTCTAGAACTCTACTCAATGCTCAAGTCAGGATTGCAATTGAAACACAAGCTCTGGAAATACGACCCTAATGGCAGGGACTTGAGTATGATTTCGAGTGCTTTAAACCATACTCAAATCCTGACTTGAGCATTGAGTAGAGTTCTAGAATACGACCCTAAGTCTTCTAATCTTAAAATCATTTCAGTTGTGTGCGAATAAAATTTCAATGGCAGGATTTTGTACATTTGGCATTCTGCTAAAAGTTAAGGTTAGTGTCTTGACAGTGGCTTACTATTCAACCGCCATTGCAATTTTTGGTACCCTGCTGTTCAATGGCGAAGTCTGCTAATTATTTGCATTAAAAAAAAAAAATTTGAAAACTAAATTGTGAGATAAAAATTAAGATATGGATAGTAATATTCATGATAGTTTCAGTAATGCAAAATAGATTGTTAGTGATTGAATGAATAAATGACTGCCATTCCACTGACACGGTTGAGGTTCAACTGCCATTGCAATCGAGTTCTCAGGTTTTCGCGGTTTTTACACTGAAAAAATGTAACTATTTTTTCTTTTTAAATCGCATATATTTGTTTTTTCAAACCAACCAATGTTTCGGGTCCTTTACAGGTGCCATGTTTAGTCAGACATGGGACTTATCAAAGCCCGCGAAACGTTGTTGTTTGAAACCGTTTGAAAAGCAAGGTTTTGGTGCCTTGTAATTTAAAAACTACAATATAATTGCCGAAAAACTAATTATTAATGTCGTTTAAAATCTGGCGAATATTATTTTAACAACATTTGTAGGTATAGATAGAAAACTCAGGCATTCACAGAACTAGTGGGAGAGAAATCCTCAGAAGTTCCATGAAGAAAACTGTCTATCATCAACATAATAAATTATAAGAAAAATACCAGCAGTTCTGTCAACAGAACTGTACAACAGAACTAGTGGGATTAGTAGAAGACAGGCATAGACATTAGCTGTCAGATTGTGTCTACAAAATGTTTGATTAGTTTATGTCTAAATCAGAATAAAACTTCGTTCGTTTGTATGGAGGTCATTTACACGGCGGAGCCAAACCACTTGACAGGGGGGAAAAGGCACTAAGCTAAGTGCTTTTTTTTTGAAGTGAGAAATAGTTACGGGTAGTCCATGTCGCTTTTAGAGACAGTACAGTAAAGAGAGAGTATTGGGCGGTGGTGTGGGCACTACAAGTGGATACTGATTAAACAACTCGTCACCATCCATCACTTATAGTACACATCCTTGAGTGTGCGCTAGAATTCAAACACATTGTTATATACAAATTGTATGCCAATCGACTCAACGTCAAAACATAAGTCATAGGTATATCTGATAGCCTTGATTCACTAATTTACTTTATGGGACGATGTAATCAGTTAAAGAGTCAAAAATATTGATAATTTAGTGATTAACTGCGTACGTGACAAAGATGCACACTTTCTTCGATGTCGTAAGTAACTTAAATGTTAGAAGCATTTCGAGATAAATTTATAATAATTTACACTTACTATTATAATTCATACAGCTGCTACATTCGCCATAAATGTATGATCATAATATTTTTTTTAAGTAAAATTACAGTACTAATTACGATGTTATTAATGTAGTGCAATTGTGAATTTTATCGTTCAGATTTTTTACTTGTATAGTTACTTAGTTGCATTGGCGTTTCATTCCATTATCAAATCAACCCACTCTCACGTTGTAACAGCCTCACGTGCTATGTCACGCAAGTTATCATATTCAATAAGATAATGAATTACACAAAGGCTTATTGTACACCAGTGTCAACTTAAGAGAGTCACCAAAGAGTACACGGAATCGTATTAAGCCGGTGAGAAAAAGCTTTATGACTTAAAACTCTTTCTGTTCGGCTCAAGCCGATTCCGCGTTAAATATGGTGACTGCCTTGACAGAAAAATCAGTAATCGGATCTCTAGTACTATAGTGCCTATAGTTTATTCGCGTTAAAAATGCGGTAGAAAATTTAAACTGACCAACCAGATAACTTTACTCATAGTATATAATTCAGCCAATTTCCATTTAGTACTGTACTTCACTGTGATTAAGGCCTAGAATTGGCCAATTTGAATTCCCCGCGAAAACTTCACGAAACTAACCATTTTATTGTGTACGGGAACATACCTGTGGCAAGTACGAGAGACTTTTAGTGGCTTCAGCATACTTGTTGATAGCGCGGAGTTCTTCGAGCGTCATTTGGGGGCTGGAGTTGCTACGGGACGATTGTGATGAGGAGCTCACTGATATCTGAAACATTTCAACGTTTCTATCTAGTTTCGCGTCGCCAAAATTGAACATCACGACCTGGACTATATTTGGACCTTACATTCGTTGCTGGAACTTACTTTTCCCCTTTTTTTCATGCAGACACTCATAGCATTACACTAGAGAAACCCTGTATCGTGGGTGCCATGGACATACTAATAGACAACCACAAATTACATCCAAACTCACGAGAGAAGAAAATGTAGGTCATACAAATATTTCTCTCGACCCGGGAAAGCGTGGTGACCGTTCGGCCGTGGAAGCAGTTACTTTTCTGTTCTTTACTAAGGGATTGTACTCATCAGTGCGGACTGTACCCACCTTTTGGATATACGAACAACATGTTAAATTTAATGAATTATTTGCTACCTCAGACCCGTTTTCATTTAATTTGCCTTAGGAGAAGCTTTTCGTGAAAAGGAAAAAAAAATATTACAAAACTAAACCATAGCTATTAAAAAAATGATTAGTAATTAATTAAACAAAAACACCTCAGCTATACGAATATTACACTTATACATTTATAATTTATATGTTCATGTTATCTTGTTTTATAAGAGATATCGCATCTTGAAACAATAACGTCACTAAAGGAAACAGTAAATGTTTAAGTTTCTGGAAATAAGATTTAAATTTTAAAAAAGGTGCGGTTTTCGTTTAGTGTCTCTTTGAGGATTATTTTAAATATAAACCAGGTACTCTCTGTCAACCATTGAAAGGTACAATCAAATATGAAAATGCAACTAAAATTTTGAAAACAATGGCCAAAAATCGGCAATTAACGGCACGATGCAGGTCCCCAATACGCGGTACTGAATGATCTCAATGCAGTGTCGATATACTACACGAAAGTGTCAACTTTTGAGAAATGGTTATTAAATTTAGTTTTTATTGAATGTTTCGCCACTAATTTGTTATAATTATTTTAATACAAAGATCGAACACTTAGAAAAAAGTTGTTTCGATCCGGCCGGATTTGAGTCGACGTCGCCTAGCAAACCGTGCCAGACGCTATGCCAACTAGGCCACGGAACGAGCCTTAGTGTCGGTGTTGTTTTCAATGCGCGATATCCAAAACTATTAAAATAATTATAAGTGATGTGCGTACCTTAAAGACGCTCTCTTCGAGCGAGATCGAGAGTCGAGTGCAGGAGTCGAGAAGGCTGTGCTCCGGAATGATGCCAAGTCCGAGCACGGTGCCAACGGTGCCGCCGCCTACAACGCCCATCAGTGCAGGCATCGACTGGCACTCTTCCGACTTAGACAGACCTGCCGTCGCCACAGTCACATTTCTCCTAAGTGTTCACTGTATAGTGTCTACCTACATATTGCCTAAGTTTTTTTTTATGATACCAAATAAAGGGACGAACATGTCGTCCGCCTGGTAGTAAGCGACACGCCTGTCCGAGCTTTAAATCACAAACTGCCACTGCCTGTCACCCTGAGACATAAATTGACAAGTCCCATGTTTGTGTTTGTAACTTTATAAGCACCCTTACCATTCAAAACCGGAACGCAGTAATGCTCAAACTACTGTGTGGCGGCAGAGGTACGGTGGAAGTACTTCCCTGTGCGAACTATTTCATAAAGAGCTCTACTGCTACTAAGTTATCGACGAAGCAACAATTTATGCCCTATATACGTGCAGAACCCAATCGAAGCCATATTCAGCAGTGCACAAAGTATACATACGGTTTGAATAGCTGTACAATATTGAATTTGTACCAACGTACCGACGAGGTAGTTTAACGGCGAATTTAGTTTCAGTTGCAGCTAGGGTTGCCAAACGTCCTATATTTTAAAAGACGTTCCCATTTTCAGACATAAAAATGGATTTCGTTATTGAGAATAAAGGGCAATTTTCGTCCTTTATTTTTGAAAAACAAAATAAGGCAGCCCAATGGAATTTATAGAGCCACCGCCTAAAACTTCTTTCGACCAAAAAATATTGAAACTGTAATAACAAATTCGAAATTCAACATCGAATGTGAAGAATTTCATCATAGAAAAAGAAGAAGCTCCCAAAGCAACAAAAATAACAAGTACAGTATAAAAAATCAACTTTGCAATTATTTGTATGACGATGGTTTTTTTACTTTTGTTCACTATTAAACAACTAAATATTTATTATTTGCTTTAATAATCTACAACAATACGTTGCGTATTTTTTATTATTATTTATAAACATCGCTACTAACATCGACATCAGCCCCTGTAGCATGGCTACGCATGATAGGCGCGACGCGCGCGATAAAATTGAAATAAGCGCGCGCTATTGGCTGTCTCAATCAGATCTAATTTAGACATTTTTATCTCGCGCTTTTTATCATGCGTAGCCATGCCGCGGGGGCTGAAGTATCAATTAATGTAAGGGACAAACCACGGTTTTTCTGAAGAGCCAAAAAACGATTTTATTTTTTTAAATCTGTCTATAACGTTTTACTGTCTGCTCCAATTTTGATTGTGTCTAAAGCAAGGTTTCTTCGAATTTCCTATTCTTTCATGCTATAAACGAAAGGTTTAGAAATGCCTATTGGTTTAAAATATACTATGTCCCTTACAATAAAAAACATTTTTACTTGTGCCTTATGTTACTAATATTTTATATGTAGACGGTCGTGTAAGCAGGATGAGAAATAGAAAATTATACGTAACTCTATTGTAAAAAAACCTTTATAATAAAATTACGTGTAATTTTCTAATTTTCAAATTTCAGGACATGCAATATTTCAAACCACTGGGCATTTTAATAATACCAATTTAATTGAACATGATGTCTCTTTTTTCTATCCTTGGTCCTTTATATCTCATGATATCCTCCAAAATACAAAACGGGACCACCAGCTCACCAACCCTTGTTGTAACACACCACGTAATCAAATCTAGCTAAGTGACTTTTCACCTATGTATATGTAAATTACAGTAGTGATTTGAAACTTATTACCAGTGAACGGAATTGACGGAGTTCTTAGTGTGGACATACCTATTTCGTGAAATGATAAATTTAATATTTTTAGCGAACCGACCGAACAAATTATCGTATGTGTATATTTCCATATAGTCTTTTTAAGCTCAGTTTTACATTTAAATTCTAAATTTAAATGTGACTGTTTTTGGCGCCTTTTCTTTGCTTTACTTTTATTGTATCTGTTTTTGGATTGACAGCTGTACGTGTTTTGTAATAAATTAATAAACTGTAAGTAAATTTACGTCGGTCTTCCGCATTCTTTGTTAGCATCCACACCAACCCATTGATACAGTTCGCTACAATATGTATGTTATTTTGTTAGCAAGTATGCAAATCGTTAAAACCTTAAAATGGTTAAATGTATTTGAACGCGTTTCCTTTTATTACTGCTTATTTCTAAATATTCCGAAATATAGGTTGTCTCGTGTTTATTTTTTAAAGGACTAACGTATTTAAGTATCTATAGAAACACAACAAGAATATTATTTTTTGAGACAATAATTTGTCGCCAATATACTCAAATTTCAATAAATAATACGCATATTTAAAAGTAATCTGTTCCGAGAAGTATCGGGATTTGTAGAAGGGATTGTCCACATTATTCTTCAGTTTAGCTAAATTAATTCTCTCACTTCCGATCACCGCTTAATGCACATACGCGCAAACATGTATCACCTACTTATCCTACATCCTTAACTATGTGACCAACTAGCACAATTGCTGTAGAGACATAGTATAAAAAGACCAAGCAGGGCAACTCTCGCCTGTGAGACATCAATGCCTACACTCCAGTCGGAGCGTAGGCATTGATGTGTAATTGACAAAAAATCACGTAAAATTGACACGTAATTGATATTAGAGAAAAACATGTTATGAAAGAAAAACATAATAATAATAAATATGGCAGACAATCACACAAATTAACGGATTCCAAACTAAGGAATTCCCTAAAATATGAATATCGGAGCAACGAAATCATAAACTATCCAGGACTAGGTTCCTTCGCGTTTGGATACCACTTTCCACTTAACATCAGGTGGAGTGGAGTCATTTGCCTGTCATGTATAAAAAAAAAAAAAAAAAAAAAAAAAAGGACACCCAGATTAGCACCAATTTAGTTTAATTAGAAACGTTCGTTTCAGGAGCTCCTCACTAACGCCCACAGTGCAATCCGATCGGCAACCAAAGTCGTCAAATAAGCAAAGAAATAAAAAATGTGTAACTCACTTCGAAGAACGATAATTCTGAATTTCATGCAAACTTGTTCACACAACAATAATAAATACGTCTACCTACTTGATGTCATTTTTTAAACATCGAGCGAATGCTTCAAGTCTTTAAATGAATGGCGCGTACGACGATTCGCGGTATGCAACGCAAGTGCTCTTCGAGATTATGCGAATGTAAGTGGAAGTACACGGCACGCGGCGAGCGTGCACACATACAAGCCGCACCGCTACGCTTATATGGAGTTACAGTTGGTCTTATTCTACTATGGTAGAGATGCCACGAATATTTAGCTACTGTTGGGTATTCGGTCACTTTTTTAATAAAAGTAAAATAATGTATTCGGCCGAAGTCCAAATCATGAATAAAAACGCACATATTATAATATCAATAAAAAAATATTACTACGTTACTAAAACCTATCAGTAGTAGGTTGTGATTAATGAAAACATTTTTTTCAGCATTGATTGGTAACAAACCATTGCAATTTTCCTCGTAAACCAAACCTTGTAATAGTCTCTCAATTTAAACGCTACTGCCAGAAGACGATAAATAAAAATAAGTGCATTTTTTAAGTTCTCGATACTGCTTTGCATTTGCTGACCGGCACCCTGTCACACGCTGTTTAATGAGATAGTTTGTGACCTGCCACGCGCGAAATGCACACATCTTTGGCCGAGAGCGTGGACGAATATTCGGTATTCAGCGAAATCACTATCAATCAATTCGTGACGTCTTTAGAGATGTCTACATTACATTAGTTTACATTAATGTAAAGGGAAAATTTTTTCTTCTTGATATTCCCCACAGGACTAAGAAGTACGCTTAAAGATAAACTATGATTTTCAATTAATTTACGTCATAAAAACGTTATTGTTTCTTAAGTATTTAGTGTCGCAGATTACTTTGTATAGATCTACTGATAACTAATACTTTTGTGTACACTATTTTCAAGTATATCCCCAACCGTTTGGTAAGCGCACACACTTCGTTTTGTCTTGTGCACGCGTCACGAGCGCGCGCGATACGCTTTAAAATTGACATACCTTCTTTATTTGTCAACACATTTAACTGAAACAAACACTAAACGTTCGTCCAAGCTTAGATCAATACATCACTGAAAATCACATTGAAAATGTTTTTTTTTTGTTATACCAAGTGACGAAGCGTACAAGTCGTGCGCCTGGTGGTACTTTGTAAGGGCAAAACATTAGCGCTGATTGCATGAACGTGTAAACCAAAGTCGCAAAGTCGCTTCGAGTGTCAATTTGGTAATGTAGCTACCACTTTCCTCTACGGCTTTATTCACTTTCCGTCTTGAGTCCTTACTACATAACAGTAAGAGCAGCCAAGCCACATAGATTGGTTTGGATGCCCTTATTGTTATGTAGTAAGGCTTATTGTTATTTAGATTGCTAGTGAGTAAAATTGGATATTTGACCGAAATAAGTTTAGTAGCAGTAGACCTCCTTGTGAAAAAGTTCGTCCAGGGAAATACTGCCAAGTTACCTATTTCTGCCGCCAATAAAATTGAAAATTGAAATTACAGGCACATGAGACTTGTCAACTTATGTCTCAGGGCAACGGGCACAGTGGCAGTACCCCTAAGATCTTTAAGATTAAAAGCTCTGAGTGGCACGGGTCGTTTACCACCAGCTTACGAGCAGGCGCACGACTTCTTCGTCCCGTAGCTTGATATCATAAGAAAAAAAATAAAGAAGTTAATTTGAATTTAAATGCGGGACAAATTGTTATAAGAGAAACGAATGATAGTATTGTAACAGATATCTCAATTCTCAACACATATCAGAGTAGACAAGGAAATGGAAAATACAAACTAAATGCACTCGCGGGGAGCAATGGAATAAAGTCCGGCACACACTCAACCTAGGACCATCATCCAATCTGTCCAATTAGTGCCCGGATGCCTGTTGACATTGACTATATGTAGCTCAACCGGTCTCAATGTACGTACATACTAATTCTGTGAAAGTCGTAAAAAAATGAATATATTTTGACATCCAAAGTAATCATTTCACAAACATTGACTCTTAAATAATACGTTCTTCCGAAAAGTAACTTTTTTTTAAAATAAATAATTCACAAAACAGGTGAATCTAAGTTGTACGCTTTAAAGCACGTATAGAATAACCGTCTTGGGTAACGGCGTTATCTATATTAGATCTACAAACTATATTAGCATGGTTGAAGATTTGGTGCAATAAAACCAATGCGTTGCATATCACAAAACAAATCGTCGAAGGTCCAATATGTCCGTATTAAATATCGGATGACTTATAAGTCCTATTTATACAATAACCAACGAATTATTGCTTAATAGAACAAACGATCATCACGAACCAATTTTTGCAATTACTTATTCCCCGGCAACAACAGAGAGAAATGGCCAGAGCCACGGGGCGCGCCATATCCGACGGCACGCTATTAACAGATACAATTAATTGTTTGCGATGCGACTCAATCAACCTAATTGGATGTGTAGCCTATAGTTACGTTAATCCTAAACCTCATGTAGCCTGCCCAAACAATTAGTGATGACTATCGAACCAATGTATACAGCACATTTCTGTTTCACGAATCTATGCTTTAATATTAGTACCATTGCAACTACGATGTTTTATTACGAATTAGGTGCTACCAGCCCCGACAAACGGTATGTTGCAGACATACAACATCAAAGTTGTTAAATTATTGTAACCACAATATTATACTGCTTGGCCCCTATGTACTGAAAGGGTCATTGTCAATTTGGAAATTTATCTAAGATAATGGATCAGAAGACGGCGCACGGTAAGCCCAAACAGATAGTATATATTTTTGAATGGAGAAAAATATATTTATATTTTTAATATGCCAAAATGTTACGTGTACCGTGCTTACAGTATAGTTTCAATCATTTCGTACCAAGAAAAAATTCTTCCGGCTGCAATCTGCAGGTTGCAGATCTACACGAGTAAAATTTATACATTTAGTAGTAAAATTCACCCGTGGTGGATTTTTCATTCGTCTGGGCAAGATACGGTGTGTCAAGGCCATACTGCCCGAGCTTAGATTTTAATTTTTATACAGTAATATAAAATTTCTGTTACACGCAACATTTTAGAATTTATAATTATTCTTTTAGCACTTTTTATCGTTGGGCTTGAAGTGTGACGTATGTACGCTTCAAACGTCGAATCTTGTTGTTCTCATTTTATTCAAGTTTCGATATTATTCGTGACAATGACCCAGACATAAGCTTGATTAGGTGCGAGCCCCGTTCTTAATTTAATAATGAATTGTCAATCAGGCTACAACACTGCTTACAGATGAAATGGTTTCAACAACGTGTACAATATTATTAATTTTACTCATTCATAAAACAATTTGGAACTCACCAAAAACATGTTACTATAGTGAACTAGGTTATCCTAACTTCAGTATTTTTAAAAACTTAAACGATTCTCATTGAGAGGACCTGCGAAAAAGGTTACCTATATTACAACGTGGTTGTATTAATTTTGATATAGGGAATTTGGTAAATAACTACAAAGGATTGTTTGTTTAGATTAAATGCAGTTTGAACACTTACAAGCACACCATGGCGCCTCTCTCTCAATGGAGTATGCACAGATGATGAACATCCATTACTACCCTAATTTGAATTTGAACAAAGTCTAAAATAAAACTAAACCTCTCATACATCTCGATACCTCACCACGTAGTTGTTGCAAGTCATAAAATATAGGTTCCATCAAAAGTAAACAAAACACTAAATGTTTTCTTTACTCTTAGGGGTCGTATTCTAGAACTCTACTCGATGCTCAAGTCAGGATTTGAGTATGGTATAAAGCACTCGAAATCATACTCAAGTCCCTGCCATTAGGGTCGTAATCCCGGTGCTTGTGTTTCCAGTGCAATCCTGACTTGAGCATTGAGTAGAGTTCTAGACTACGACCCTTAATCATGAAACATGAAACTTTTAAGTGTACATAAAAAAAGGATACATTTAAGTAAAAAACGCTATTTTTGTGGTTTACAACAACTTACCCAGGACGTATCGATCTATAAACCAGGTGTGGTATATTTTTTTCTTTTTCTTAAAAATCTGTTTTGATTTCGGACTAAACTATGACGTAAATTTTAGACACAAAGTTACAGATCGTGAGTGTTACCAACATTACAATATTACAATAAGGTTTTTAGTTATTTACCAAAAATCCCAAGGACTGCCACAGACTAAGCGTAAAATAGCGCGTGCAAAATGTCTTTAGACAAATTGTAATTTGCTTTAACACAATTTCAAAAATGTTTGTGAGCAATGGTGTCTACCATAGTCCAATATCACCAGAGGGAGAGCAAGTATTTAACTACTACCATTAAACTTTTTGTATGTACTTCGCGATGTGATAATGGTTACCAGAGTTGCCAGACGTCCCTATTTTGTCTGAAATGTTAAGTCAGCCAAAATCGCGCCCTCGATTTTAGGCGCCCCATACGGGTGATCGAAATATATTTATATAACATTTTTATGCTGTTAACGATTTACTTGAACACTAGGGGAGTGGCGACGGGACGATACGATTCTCTTAACGATTGGTCGAAACAAGAAATCGTGTGTGCATCGGGACTTTTAGACTCCACGAAGCCACGTAGAACGATGTGTTGTATCTGCTGATAGTTTGTTTGTATCCAAATATAATTAAAAGTAGTAAAAATTGTTTGAAATTATGGCTCGTTTTCAACATACGAATAACTGCTTTTAGTCGAGTTCTTAGGTTTTCGCGGATTGTTTGTTCCTATGAAATGAAACTATTTTCTCGGACTTAATCGCGTATACTTGGGACTGACTGAGTCAGCGGTGCTCAAGGCACCTGTGAAGAGCCCGAAACATTGGTTTATTTGAAAAAAATAAATAAATATACGCGATTTAGGTAGAATCCACAGTGCTCTGAATCGAGCATTTAATTTAGTGCGGATATTCACCGAAGAAAGTCGCCTACAATGAACGGGTGCGGAGTTCACGCGGAGCGTGTTCCGAACGGAGCAATACGCGTCACTGTAATGATATTCTAACGCCACACATGTTACTCCGCTCCGGAGCTCCGCGCGAACGGTCCGCAGTTAAATCCGTACTGCTCTGAAACCAGGCTCAGATTCGAAAAAATAGTTTCATTTCCTTTAACTGCTTTTAGTATTCCACAGTGATTTTACTTTCAATTTATCAAAATCCCGTCTTCTGGATCTGGAAGGAACACCCTCACACCCTCGTCGGCGGACAGCAGATTTTGACAGAATTGCGTTTAAGCAAATGTAAGTTATCAGAGAAATAATGCCCGGGCTGTTTTTGCTTTTGCGCTGTATGCTTCTAAATATGGGTGCGATAAGAAATAACGCGTTTTACTTACTTTCAAGATTGAACTTGTTCCCCCAACGATCGCTCTCGCATTGGAGCCAAGTCTTCTCGGCCTCTAAAGACAATTGTCCTGGAAAATAGCATGAATTACGTTTCGTACTAGAAAATCTATATCCTGTCAGAATTTTTTAGATATAAATTGACGTTTAGGGAGTTCCTGGTTTTTGTTGAAATAAAAATTATATTTATCTAGTTCTTGGGTTTTCGTGTTTGGAAATGAAACTATTTTTTTCCGAATTGAATAATTTTCTTTTATGCAAACATATAAAAAAAGACATACGCTGCTTTAGATACGAAAAAAGTTTCATTTAATAAAAATCCTTAAACGATTGACTTCGCAGACTCACTCGACAGGTCATCAAGGTAAATAATACAATTTTAATAATTTATATAAATTAAAAAAGAAATAAAGTATTTAATAACAAGATAAATTATAGAAGTACTACGACTAAAAAAGTAAATGAAAAACAAATAGTGAAACTAGAGAATTCCATGTACTACGAGTACAGACGGTGCACTCACTTATGTATCCACTATTTATACTAAGTGCTATACAAATAATGGATACCTAAGTGAGGGCACCGACTGTACCAGAGCAACGGAATTCACTCTGGAGCACTTCCCAGAATTCACAGACCAGAACCAATTTCCAATTCCAATTCCAATTTTTAATCTGTGTTACCGAGAATCAAAATAAAATCGGCATTGTAGTGGTAGTAGAGCTCCCTGTGAAAGAGTTCGTCCAGGGAAGTACTACCACCTTATCTGTTTCTACCGCCAAGCAGAATGTGAGCATTACTACGTTTCGGTTTTGAAGGGTAAGGGCGCTGGAGAAATTACCAGCACATGGGACTTGTTGTTACCACCAGAAATCGTACCCGGAAACTTCGCCTCCAGCGCCCACAGCACAAACAGTTGGGCCAAAGAAATCGTCATTTAATATCTGTAAGGTTCTCCATGTTCTGTTTCAGTGATTTCATCGAAAACTGAACCAAAAAAAGGACTATTCAATAAACATGGCAAAATTATTATTCAAACTAGCATTAGTAACTGTCAGTCTGTTAACTCCAATTACAAATCCGGCGTACAACAGCCAGCGCACGGCATTCAAATTTTAATGTAATTCAAATTGGCTACAGTGTATATAGGTACAATTAGAGATAACAATAGCATACCGTCTCACTGGAAGGTCAATCTGACGTTCCGGGTGAAAACCTGTACATTTCGAGAAATATTCCGTTTTATTTTTGATTTTGAGGTTTGTCGACGGCTTCGTGGTTGCATTCTCGTAAACTTTCGTTGAAAAATATTTTTATTTATATAAGTTTGATTTAATCAATATTGAACAGTAACAATTTTATAATTTTCAGCGGTTTCACAAAATATTAAAAAAGCATTTTAATTATTTCGATTTAAAAAAAAATACACCAGGCTAATTGTAATCGAAAATTGTAAAAAAAAATTGACTAAAGCTGCACCAAGTTGATGTTAAAAGATGTTAATTTAGTTGTTTAGTAGTTAGATGTTAGGTTTTAGTACATTAAATGCTGAGTAGTTTCAATCCGTATTACCTGAGTCAACAAGTAGTAGTAGTGTGTTATATACATGTTTGGTTAGGTAGTATTTTATCTGTTTAGATTGTAAGATTAAGGTTTTCTTGACGTATTGCTTTTCCAACTTTTCTTTTTTTTCGCGTTTAGTGCGCGTGCTGTGAGCGTGCAGTGTTGTCGCGGCGCATTCGCCAGATATGTATGCACCCTTATTGGATATTTATTGTAATGTCACAATCGAACGCGAATTGTAGATTTATCTTGCCGCTTATACATTTATGTTTTATTGTTGATCTTCGCCGGCATTTATTTATAGTCACTGTGTCACCCATCCACAACAACCTATGCAAATGTTACACATTGTACATATACTTAAGCGCCCAGTTACCACGCTTCACGTATATTAATGGCGTTTAAATTCCTTGGAACAATAAAAACGCGCGGTCACCACGTAGACCAAAGACAAACCAGCCACACTGGCGCACCCAAGACGCTGATTTAAGTTAAAACGTAAAAACTAAACAAATAGAGCGTATTTTGCCATAACAGTTAGATGCACACGGGCTTCGCGCGCGCGGCGTGAACGCGATGAAATTCGTGTCGAATAAACGCGCTCTAACGCTACCCATAACTGTTGCAGTCACTTAGAGCTTGAAATCGCAAAGATCTGAGGGGCACTGCCACTGTGTCCATTACCTTGAGACATAAGTTGACAAATCCTATCCCGTAATTTCACTAATACCCTTACGCTTTTAAACCGAAACGCAGTAAGGCTCGCATTACTACTTGGCGGCAGAAATAGGTACAGTTCCACCAGTTAGGTATTGACCCAACTGGTTGAACTCTCAGAAGCTACTGCTACTAACGGTAGATTATTAAAATAATAAAAAATAAGCGGTACTCTTCAATAAGGTACGTATCGTTCACCGTTTCTTGAATCTGAGTCTCTGACCCTGGCCGACTTCATTGCCTTCATTACCGCTTCCAATACCAAAAGAAAACAAAATTGATATTTGAGGCCACGGGAGGGGCGACGTCTTAAAGGTAAATATGGAAAATAATACGCCAGGCAACTGGCGTCATTGACGCGGACATCAACTGCCCGGCCTCGAACAAGGGAATTCGATGTACCATGAGTATTAGAGTAATAAAATTACCTCCGGGTACTACACAGAATATCCGTAACAGACAGTTGGTTGTCTACCTACTCAGAAAAATTCCTTTCCTAATTAGCCCTACCGGGAATAGCACTCAACATCTCTTTATCAAGCGCCCATAAACCTAACCCCTGTTCCGCCAAAGTCATTTACAATGTCTATCTACATTTAATCGATATCAGCGCCTTATATTTTTATTCATTCTTATAGGTCACGATTGAACAAAATTGCGCCTGCGCAAGTGCGACTGTATTCCCAATGGAAATGTGCGAAAGACCATCCACTATTGCCACATTGACAAATTTCCACAAGGCATAAATATAATATCGCCGGTCTGCTATGTAGCCTATGTGGGAACATGTCAAAGTCGAATGAATCAAGATATTAAAGCAAAGTATCTTATTGCCCTTTACATCTGGTCTAAATGAAGTCAACAGCTTCGCGCTATGGGATCCATACATTGTGTGCGCGAATTATTAATGGGCCAGACAACCACAACAAGTATGCTATCTATGGTACTTACTAGAGCAACTGAATTCACTCCGGGGACTACCCAGGTCTGAGTGCATTTTTTTTACATGGTGGAAATGCTGTATTCTTTACATGGGGTTAACTCCCCATTGGGGGGAATACCCACTACTCCCCCTCAGTTTACCCTGTTGGCCAAGTGTTGTGAGCAGCGCCGCGGCATCCCGAAGATTCACCACAACGACGACCTTGGCGGCCTCGGTTTTCACCAGGCTCCCCGTGTAGAGAAGGGAGGATCGGCTCGCTTGACACATCTTTCCAAACAAGTGGGATCATGCGATGCGGGCAGGGTATCCCCATCCCTCGTACGCTGGCCCCAGTAGGAAATTAGGCGAGCAGCGAACCTTCTTCCCCGCCGCCTGCGTCAAAGCGGGTTCCCGCTCCGCGGTATACCTTTTGCGAGATTACCTCTTCGCAGGTTTGAAAATGATACGGAAATCGAACCCGGGACCTCTTCGTGCTGCGTCCACAATGCAAATCGTTGGGGCACTAAGGTCGACAAAATCTTCTTTTATTCCTTTTCCTACACAGAAACAGTGCGACTATTGGTGTTGTGATATTCTTTAAACAAACCAAATTTTCCGGTCCCATTCGATGACTGGCATTGTGTAATTCCACTTTTGTTTAAATAACATAGATTGTATTTCGACTGCAATTTAACACGCCCCGTAATGAATCAACTGTTTATTAAAAACTGTCAAATTCTTGTGATTATTGTTTAACTTTTCGCCACGTAACGTGGATGGAGCAATAGATTATAAACGAGTTAGCCATTTGAGAGGTTTATTGATCACTTGGGTAATTTCACTTAGGTATCGGAGGTGTTCAACGTTCTCATTGATCACCCACGTTGAAAGATACGCAGACGTTATTCACACGGTTTTATTATTGAATACAATCAGATAAATAGGTTTCATGATCTCAAAAGAAGTATGGCGAGATCCCATGTATTTTGTGACTCAGTGTTTTTGACGACGTGCATTAAAGAGACCTATCAATACTTGTGATTCATTATCAAAGCATCAAAAACGCTAATTGAGTACAGCCTGTAGAAGCTGGGGTTATAAAGTTTACATAGGTTATATTTATAACATTGTCCTGTATTTCGCTTCAGAAGTTTGTTCGTAGTAGCAGAAAAAGTTTTCAGTTTGTTCCCTAAAATAATAAAGAACTTGCAGAATATTTCTAAATCTCCCAAATTCTGCCACATTTAATACAACGTTAACATGTTCTGTCGCAATGAAAATGAATAAAAATTAAATCTGCCCAAATGGCAGAAATCTGGCACATTTGGTCACACTGTTCTCAATCTGAAAGTGACATTGACATTGGCAAGAGGACGACATAGGAATTTAAAAATCAATCCATTATTTACAAGTGCTATTTCATATGTCAACGATTTGATGATGAATGGCATATTTTAAGGCCTCAGGTATTATGAGTGGAAAAAAACAAACAGGCAATTTGCATTAGAAAAAGTAGTTTCATTTCCAATGTGTAGCAATCACGAAAACCTAAGAGCTCGAAATGCTTACTTATTCTTTAAAGCGTATTATACACATAATTAACACAGGGAGTTAAAAAAGTAATCTGAAATTACATGGGATCACTCTACCCTTCGACATTCAACAACTATCCCTGAAAAACATAAATAAAATCGATACATAGTCTGTCTTTTTTTAAGTCGGAGTAAAATTACATTTGTAGGGTTGCCAGTTTTCATAAAATTTTAAATAGTCCTGTACAACTACAGTCGACAGTTTTGTCGATAGATTGTGAAGGAAGGTAAAATTTTGCCAAAAATATCTGAATTGTGAATGTTAGAACGTTCTAAACATTACTAATTGCCTTGTTGCCTTCTTTATTCCTATTTTGATAGTTGGCCTATTACAATCGAAATCAATATTTATTCATATACATTTTAATAAGAACAAGCGGATTTGATTATCTATATTGAATATAAATGAAAAACTTTAAATTTATCTTTTCTTTGTATTTTTGGACATAGTTCTAAATGCAGTGTATATATGTATGTATGAACTTCCAAAAATTTGTAATTGAAATGAATAATGAGCCGATGATGATTCAAGTAAACCAAGTTCGACTAATTATTGCATAAACGTAACAATATTCAGTAGATAGTCGATAGAATATTTATCGACTGCAATCATTAGCAGCTTGCATACGGGTAACACTTTTGCACAACGAAGCTGTCATTTTCACTCCATCTTAAAAAAAACAGACTACAGTCGTCGATAATTCTCGTGTCGCCCACCACTTCGTGGCCACTTAACTCGAGTGCGGTTCATTGGGCGTCAGTTGATACTAACTGGCATATGCTTCCTGGTCGCAGCGGTGTCTCGGCGGTGGCGGGTCGCGGAAGGAGCAGATCCATTCGTCCTTGACGCGCAGGACGCGGCCGGTGACGCGAGCATAGTACTCGTAGTTGTCGTGCCCGAATAGGTCCCCGGCGCTGAACTGCTCGATCAACTGCCGCATAATTCGAGTCGCCACCTGGCGCCAACCAACACATACCATACGTTATCTTAGAAGACTTTTCGAAAGGCTTATGGATTAATTAATTCCCTGTACAGTACATCATTACTGCTACATGTTTAGAATCGCATGACACACTACGTAATATGCTTAACGTAATATCTAAAAGATGTAGATAAACGGTAAATACCAATTGTCAAACATTACCTTTCCTGATGACGTCACTGTTTCGTTTCCATAGAAATGTTTTTCATGAAGTGTCTAAAGAACTAATGTGGTACGATTTAAAAATATGTAACATGTCAAAGTTTATTACATATAACTTCTGTTTTAAGATTTCATTTTACACAAAAATAACATTTTCCAACATATTAGGATTGTACGCGCTACATTGCCACGTAAATTATTTTAGGACACGTTCATGCAAAAACTTATGTATGAAAACAGGCCCATGGCATATGGCAACACTTTGAATAAAACTGTATAAATTCTAATTCTAACACAGGACGAGTGCATGCCTATCTAACACTAGGAATATGACCGCAAATATCTTAAATTATAACTTTATTTAGTCGATCTCCCTAATTACTTTCAAGTAAATTGCGCGAGAAATATCTCGTGGTTACATACAGGGTAGCAGACAATAAATTCACACTTATAAAGCTAAATAGTCAGTTTTAGCTTCAATTCCCCGGTAAAGGTCCGTTAATTAGAAACCGTGCGTGTGCGTATGACTTGGCCGCCGCATGATAGGG